CAATGTTTTCATATAGTTATTTTCAAGGAAAAAAAACATAAGTAACATAATTTTATACACATAACGTAAATACAAACAGTTCAATATGAACATAAAAGCACACGGTCATTATTTATCGGGCCATATGAGGTAAGATAATATTTAAAAAAAAGCTTGTTTTAGCCTGTATGCATCAGAATGGGCATGTCCTGGGTCTACCATGTTTTCCTTTGACCATGTTTCGATGTCCACGCATTCCTCAACACACCAATGCATCATGTATGGACAGTATATCAATATGCTGTTCATACGATGTGACAAATCTCAGCGAGTTAAGAAACACACGATCAGATGAGATATGTTCCACTATACGGTTGTCAGTTGATAAAAGATCATTATAGCAAGTACATTTAACGTAGATCCATAACCACAGATGATCTTGAATCCATTTATTCTCATTTTTATCTTTATGTAGGTTTGGGGCTAGGAATGACGATAAGTGCAGCTCTATTTACATTCACCATGTGCTCTCATCACTGCAGTCCGTTCATTTCTATCAAAGTACTCGTTCTGAAGTATGCCTTTCATTGGCTTCTTTGGTTTTTGAAACGAAAGCACTGGCATGCCTTCCAAAAGAGCAACGAGAATTGTACGAAAGCCCAGTCCGAGTTCCTATTGAAGACAATCCGCAAACACCAAGACACCGCGTACGGGAAGGACTTCAACTTGAAGGAGATATCTTCTGTCGAAGACTTCCTCAAGAAACATCCTCTGACAACCTACGACCATTACCGAAAATACATTAAACGGGTGGCTGAGGGAGAGCAAGGCGTCATGTTCCACAAAAAACCTAGTGTCCTTGGTAAGACGTCAGGGACCACAGGTTTGGCCAAAGTGTTTCCGGTTAGTGAAGAATACATGAATAACATTACTCTAAGAGGAAACGCCGTGACGTCAGCCCTTCGAAATCAGGCTGGCATTGCTGATCCCAAACCACTACAAATGACGTGTTCGCTTTTAGTACATGGTGCTGTAGGTTTCTCGGAAGGAGGCACCCCAGTTGGGTCGGTGACCGCGTTCATGATGTCAGATGCCATCAGGGAGATTCTATTCTGTACGCCACCACTTGGTGCAAGCATAGTGCACGAGCCAACTTCTATGTACATCCACGCCCTCTTCGCGCTTCGAGATGAACACCTTGGCAGCATCTGGTCTCCTTTCGCCTCCTCCCTCTTCATCTTCTTCCGTTTCCTGGAGGTATCCTGGAACATGCTGGTGCAGGATATCCGCAGTGGTTCCATCTCTGAAAAGCTGCCGTCACTGTCTCCTAGGGATCGAGAAGAACTCAATAGATTCCTCTACCCAATGCCCGATCGAGCCAATGAGATAGAGAGACAGTTCCGTATGGGGTTCGACAACATTGTGAGTAGGTTGTGGCCGAGAATGCCCGTACTGTACGGTGTTACATCAGGTTCCATGCAGCCATTTGTACAACGTCTCAAGAAGTATAGTGGAGGTGAGTTACTATGATCTCCATTAAGAAATGTCTCGAATTCTGATAAGGCAATAAAAACATGTCATCTGCCAGAACCGGGAGGATCAGAATTGCAGTACCCCAGAACTTTTTGTTTTTGCTGTTCACAAATTATTGGATGCATTCTAGGTGCCATAATCAGGTGAAAGATCACTTCGTCATTATATTTGCTACGAATGACAACATGATTTAAGAAAATTAATAACTTGCCGTATTACAGCTTTACAACAATATTTTCAGTGAACATGCCTCTCCCGACCCCCCGCGTTGAAAAAAAAGCATTCAATCTCTTTATAATGAGCTTGTAATGATGAGGAAAAATGGATTATAAAAAACAAAAATACTGTCTTATGTTTCATTTCAAGGACTTAATATATTCCCGTTACGCATTTTATACGTAAAAAGAAATATACGCATGTAAATTCACGAGGGGTCTTCAAAATGTAAATCACAATATAAAAACTGGACAAATAGTATACCAGAGCTTTACAACTGATCAGCAATAATTCATTTACAGATTTGAAAATCCTGTCGGGTTTCTATATTTCTACTGAGGGCCTTGTTGGATACGCATGTGAGTTCCCAGATGACGGACAGACGAAATACGTGTGCGTAGCAGACGGTATATTCTGTGAATTTATACCTGCTGATTACTGGTTAGTTATATGAAATTTAATTATTTTGATATAAATCAAAAGAATTTCAGGCAAATGGCAGAACAAAATAATGATAAAGTACATGACAAATATGGTAATAATAATGATACTTGTACACTACGAAAAATAATGCCATTAAATCTCATGAAATAAAAAGTCTGGACCAACTTCTAGCATTATAATTATGAAATTAAAACACAGAAAACCGAAGACAAGATTCTCTCCTAATTCACCCCTATTAAGAATATTTGTTCTTCTTTTGACTCCTTGCTCTTCGATGCTTTCATCTATCTTAAATTTTACCCTGCTATAATCAGAATAAGATATATGTCATGATAATTATATTCGAATATAATATTGTATATAGGCCTATGAAATAATAAACTTTTCTGCTTTAAGCTCCATGTTACAGGTATACTTACACCACACTCTATATACATTACGAGCAAGCAAATTTGAAATCTGATGCAACAAAGTTCAACTGTAATATTTCACTGATACGTATCGGTTTTTTATGTTTTATGAGAGAAGAACATGGTCTCATGAACTCTGTTGCGTGGTGATATTTTCTAAATGAACTAGACCATAACATTTCACTTTGTTGATGTTTGTGTCAATAACGAAGTTCTTTTGAACATGTTAAAGCCAATCTTCACTTCTGGCGCAGCGAATTCTAGACTTGTATAGGTTGCCATCAAATCTCTAAAATGATAACCTTTCCAGATTGTTTGGGATAAAGACGTTTTTTGTAAATGAAAAATTAGAAAATGTTATTACGTTTTCTTTCTAACTATAGTTGTAAAATTTCAGCTACATTGTGAGCTAATTTGGCTTTTACAACTCTCCATTCAAAAGGATCCAGCAACGCCCTAGCTGAAATCTCAGAGGAGCTGCATTTCGACACTCACTGACTAGATTAATTATGTCGGATGGATCGTATAGGGCCAATTTGGTGTTCATTCATAGAGACACACCCTTTTTTTTTAAGAGCACCAAATATGTCAAAGTCCTCCCCCCCCCCCCCAAAAAAAAAAAAATCGCGACTGACGCACAACTAACAATACTCTTATTCATAAAAAAATGAAAATGATATTGACACAAGTGTAATGTATCGTTATTATATAGGTTACGCTGTTTTGCACATGATGTGAGAGAATCAGTCAGTTCAGTTCAGTTAAATGTAATCCCCAAATCATAGAAAGACAGACACCTTTGAGGGGATTGCGTGCAGGAAAGTATAAGGCCAAACAGGCGCGTACGCAGGATTTTTCAAGGGGGGGGGGGGGGGGAGGTTTAACATTTTTAAATCAGGCCGAAAATTTCGCATCGACTCAGCCAGCCGCTGAATAAGGGGGGGGGGGGGGGGTAAGAGAACATTTTTTGTTTGTTTTTTGTTTTTGTCCCCCCAAAATCGCAACGACTCAGCCGGCCGCTGAATAAGCGGGGGGTAAGAGGACACTTTTTTTTTATTTGGGGGGGGGGGGGGGGGGGGGGTAAGGTCACCTTTTTTAGGTCAGCCATGGGAATATATATATATTTTTTTATTATTAAAAAAAAAACCAAAGGGGGGTTTGGGTTTCTTTTATGGGGGTTTATACACATAAAAATACCAAAGGGGGGGGGGGGGGGTTAACCCCCTAAACACCCACCTGCGTACGCGCCTGAGGCCAAATATTGCTTCTGAAACAAACAAGCAAATTTGAAATATAATATGTACAACAAATTCAATAGTAATATGTTCACCGATACGTATTGTTGTTGATGGTTAATGAGAGAAGAAATATAGGTCTCTATAGGTCTCGTCTATGAGAAAGACACACGATAAAACAGTGTGGTTTAATTTGGTCTCATTAAATGCAATAATTGCACTGTATAGTATGGTTTCTGAGAGTTGCTGGGTTAGTGAGAGAAGAATTCGGTTTCGAACCTTGTGACACCTAGTCTCGGTCTCGTCTATGAGAAAGAACGGAGATAAAACGGTTAGCTTAAATTTCGAATCGTGATCAGAATATCCCTTTTTAGGCATGTGATCAATTAGTGACAGTCTAATCGTGACCAGAATCTCAGGTTTCACGAGAGCGTGTGATGCCCATTATGTGAACATTATTTACCCGGTCACTGAGAAATTATTATATTCGGTTGAAATATATCATTATAATGATTTTATTCCGTTCAAATATTGTACCATTGTTTGACTCGGCAGTGAGGATGAAAACCCAGGTACTCTGTTGATGGATGAGGTACGGGAAGGAGAATGCTACGAGCTGGTCATTACCAATACAGATGGTCTCTATAGATACCGGATGGGTGATGTCGTCCTCATTACAGGGTTCTACAATACCACGCCCATCTTCCAGTTCCAATATAGGTAATGAAGGTTATTGGTTCAAACCCTTATCAGTCATAATGTATTTAAGTTGTTCCTTCCGACCACATGGACGGCGGTTTTTTTTTCATGGACGGGGAGGCGAGGTATCATAGACATTCTCTCTCTCTCTCTCTCTCTCTCTCTCTCTCTCTCTCTCTCTCTCACTCTCTATACTCTCCCATGCCTTTTGACATTTTAGCGTAACCCCTGTCGGCATATTTGAACATTTAAGGTACCTTTTTTTGCTTTAGAAATGTTTCGGCAAACTTCGGCGTCCAGTTTTGTTCCTGCAATTTGTTTGCATTCAAAAGGACTAGCAGCACGCTATCGTAGACATTCTCTCTCTCTCTCTCTCTCTCTCTCTCACTCTCTATACTCTCCCATGCCTTTTGACATTTTAGCGTAACCCCTGTCGGCATATTTGAACATTTAAGGTACCTTTTTTTTGCTTTAGAAATGTTTTCGGCAAACCTCGGCGTCCAGTTTTGTTCCTGCAATTTTTTTGCATTCAAAAGGACTAGCAGCACGCCTGGTACTATGATAGTTTGTTCAACTATTCTTGTTTTAGTCAATTGATGTTGATATTATTGGTATTCATTTAACAGGAATGGAGAACTGCTGAGTCTGTGTGCCGAGAAAACATCTGAGGTGGCGGTGACCAAAGCTCTGGAGGAAACAGCCGAGAAATGGGACGATGTCGAGATCGCGCAGTATGTGTGTGCAGAGAGTCCTCTCTACGATGAGGCAAGAGGTAAGATGTTAAAGATTAGTAAAGATAGATAGAAAGATAGATAAATAGATAGATAGATAGACATATATTATAACGATTAATAGATGGATAGGTAAAGAGAGAGAGAGAGAGAGAGAGAGAGAGAGAGAGAGATTGCGCAGTATACGTGTGCGCAGAGAGCCCTAGGTCTTTACGATGAGGCAAGCTAGAGGTAAGATGTTGAAGATTGGTAAAGATAGATACATAATTATACATATAAAGGGATAGAGAGAAAGATTGATAATTGATAGATATATAAATAGAGAGGAAAAAGACGGCATGTAGGTAGCGGAAAAGGGAAAGTGAGAGCTAGAGCTAGAGAAACAGAGAGAGAGAGAGAGAGAGAGAGAGAGAGAGAGAGAGAAAAGGAGAGAACGAAAGAAAGAAAGTAAAGTACGCTCTAAGACGGATAGAATAATGACAACAATGAGCCATTCACGCATACGATGTGTTTTCATGTATCTGTCAATAAATGATCGAAAAGCGAGATGATCTATTTGGCATGATTTGTATATTCTTATATATTTTATTGAGTATATTATTCATTACAAAACTTCATTAATACAGTAACATTATAGTGTAGGAAAAAATAACTTTCTCTTTCTTCTTTTGCTCGCAGTTCTGGAAATTGAAAACTTTTTTGTTTAATAAGAGATGCCATCAGTGACCTCGTCGCGAAATTGTGCCCATACGCCTTTATAACCATGAGATCATTACCTTTTCTATGTTAAATCCTTTCGTTAAATTTCTCTAATATTTTTTCCTAGGCACGAATGAAGACTTGAGTGCAAACATTCTTTATTACGTCATCTTCGTAGAGCTTTCAGCTTCCACGGACTCACTGCTAACATCGGTTCGCAATGTACAGATGAAGGTATGACAAAATAATGGTCAACATATTCCATAGTCATCGCAGAATCATATTTTGAGGGTGATACTTAAATCGGAAATAATCAATCGTACAATATTGTGTGTCGGGCAATAAGCGAAATTGTAATTTTCTACATAAATTAAAAAATGACTATATGTGAAAATCAGTACATTTGATTCACGACTACTGTTTTCCATTGCCCTTCTTTCTTTTCGATGAATTCATATATATTTGTTTATAGGTTTCATATCGGGAATAAGCTTTTTGTTTGACTTCTGCTTTATGTAATCTGCGCACTGAGTGTGTCGATAGCTAGGTCTATAAACATTTTCGTTATACATATTTATATATACAGATCGGAGAGATGATATAATAAATCGTGTGTAATTCGTTGTTATTCCGTTGAAAAACAAGTTCAAATCAAGACTTTTATGTTTAAGGTTAGCGAATCATTACATTGTTTTGGCGCTCTCACAATACATTAAGGAGAAATTATAATCATTATCCAAAAATTGTTGTTGTTCTAATGATGAGCCTCTTAATATTGACTGTAAGAGATTCTTGAAATTTGACCCTTTTTATCCCCCCCCCCCCCTCTCCCCCTCCCTTCCCCCGTCTTGCAGTTCGAGGCTGAGTTTGACGCTAACCTTAGGACCTTCTCGGAGTCTTATGACAAGTGCAGGGAGAAGAGCAAGCTGGGTCCTCCCCGCGTCGTCTTCCTCGATCGCCACGCCTTCTCCCACTTCAGAGGGTACCTCCTGGAGACGTCAACAGCCTCTGCGGGACAGTTCAAGATTCCCAAGAAACTTCGCGAGCTAAGGTGGATCCAACTCTTCCTGAGCCACGAGATCAAGACCGTTTCCGTCAATGATAAGGTGGAGGATAAGGTCGATGATAAGGCCGAGGACGAGGTCGAGGACTTGTCCAAAGTCACCGGTGATGATCTTGTATAGACAGAAAACAATGTTTCAGGGAAAGAACTCACTGGATTCATTGTCAGAAAGTACTATTTGTTATGTTGTTTATATTTATATGGAATACAGAAGAAAGTAAATCATATCAAATTAAATCAAATCAAGCAATCTATTTCATTTCCAATATTGTTGCAATTAATTATATCTTACTATTTCATATCAGATCTGAAACATGAAAATAATCGTAAGTTACTACTGTGGAGTTGTGATTGCTTGCAGGAAATACGATTAATTTGAAGCTGGCGCAATGCAACGTTACATTGGAGAAGTAAATTCTACTTTTCTTGAGTTATGTTATAAAAAGACAGTGATGCCAGAAATCTATGTTTCTTCATTACTCGGAGCTTTCTACAAATCAGTCGTAGAATTTGTTTTAAAGGTGGTAGATCGGGGCACTGGATTTAGTGGGTGTAGAGGATGGCTTACTTGAGTGGAACATTACTATATTTAAAGTAAACTTTGTTCAAGATTATAATTGTAAAACAGCATCTGAGGAACAGCAGGAACTAATACTTCAGCAAGCTCTGCTTATAGTTAGTTCCTCTTTTCTCGTGCTATTTCTATTATATTTGTCGTTTCATTGTATATATTTGTAATATACTTATTCATTGTATTATGTTTTGCATGAGAAATAAAATCATTTTAATAAAAAACGAACTAAAAAATAACAACATATTGTCATGCACGGGGGCCGGTAGTAGGTATTTTTTTTAAAATTGGGTCTAGAAGAAAAAAAAAATCTCTTAATCAGGAGGAAATGTTTAAGAAACTTTTTGATATGTAAAAAGGGAGAGGAAGAGAATAATAATAAAGACACAAACCTGATGAAAAACCCACCAAAATGGCGAATTTTGTAACAAAATTAAAGCTTTGTAGTATATAGCGAACCTTCATATCTTAGCCGTGTGTTGACCTCCCCCCACTCGCTTCATATACGCCTATATGCTCCATAATAATTGTTATGCTTCAGATTGACAAGCATATATAATTATAACACACTTTAGAGCCCGACATTGTTAACTAATTTACCTTACCTAGCGATAAAAATTTTCTGCATTATATTGTTTGCCACACCGTCTACCATGGCTATGCTTTTAGAGAATTGCCCCCCCCTGATATATTAAGTTAAATTTCACGAGGTCCCCTATCCCTTTTCCTTCTTTGTCTTATGTATACCTTAATTTATGATCGTCAAAGTAAGTTGTTTTATCTGTAAACATCGTTTGTGAATTATGTTTTATTATTGTTGACGGACATTGTTAGACCAAGCTAGGTTTGATTTCAAGTACTCTATGCCTTATGTCGTATATACATTCATGTACATTATGAATGAAATATTCATTGAAATGTGTATGTTTGATATTATTTCATAGATACACAATTAATATGTTCAGTTGTGCGCATGTCGAACCACAAAGAATGTTAGTGCTTTTTTATATATTTTTTTAAAATCTACACACACTTGCGTGATACTCTTTCAATACAAATAAAAGATTTATTATAGAAATGGTTTGTTTCCTTATATCCCTTTTTATATCTTAATTTATATGGTGCGGTATTGGGGTTGACGAAACATCATATTAACATTCTATTGTATACGTTAATCAAGCAGAAGGATTTTTAGGCCGTTTGGTATAAGACGAATAATGCAGACCGAATGATGAGATTAAAAATGAGAGGATTCGCAGACAAACTAAAGAGAGGGAGAGAGTAAAGCGAGAAGGGGAAAGAGGCGGGTGAGAGAGAGAGAGAGAGAGAGAGAGAGAGAGAGAGAGAGAGAGAGAGAGAGAGAGAGAGAGAGAGAGAGAGAGAGAGGAGAGAGAGAGAGAGAAAGAGAGGGAGGGGTGGGGGGGGGGGGGGAGGGGGGGGGAATGCGATAACGATAGCTAGCTATATCTCATCACCATCACGTAGGCCTACTCACCAAACATGGCTATTTAGTCTTTTATAAGTTTGCACATGGGCATGTATACCACTTGATCTTTGGTAACGTAATATTTTTTCAGTCATGACCTAAAAATCTGTAAATCATTAAAAAAAAATGATATCACAAAAATTAATAGCAAAAAATCAATGTCTACAACATGGAGCATATTATGCTGTAGCTCACTGGTGGAGTTACGAGAAGTTTCAAGATTCAAGTTTTATCTTCCATGACATAGAAATATTTTAAACAAATTTGTTTTCCATTTTGCAATGTAAGCCTCAGCGTTTACAAAACATAATATCGTTTACTCAGAGGCAAAATGGCGAGAAGGGTAATAAAGTCTTTCTTCCCGACAACTTAGATCAATATCAAATATAAAGACAACAATAGAACTATTGTAGCTGATTGGGGTGGAACCTTTGTTGTTGTTCATATTGATGAGATGTGTAGGTAAGAGAGCCTAGGCTCTAAAGATTCGACATTTTTAACCAAAACTTGTTTCAGGAGAATGTGGGTTTATAATGTGCTAGGGGCGTTCCCCGGATTACCACTCATCAAGAATGACTTCATTATTTTGTAAATATATTACCAATATCAAATACTTGATTAATTAAAAAGGAGATGTATGAATAAAGAATGTACCCGTATGACCTCAAACCAAGTCGTTGGAAATAATAAATCAAACGATTAAATTTAAAATAGAAACCATCTGTTTTAATTATGTCTATTTATCTTTCAGTTAATTTTGGTAATCTTAGTTTTCTTTCTTCTTCTTCTTCTTTTTTTTCCTTCTTCTTCATTCTTCTTCTTCTTCTTCTTCTCGTTCTCGTTCGTTTTCTTATTCTCCTTCATTTCCCCTTCCCCCTTTCCTTTACCTTTCCTTTTACCTGTTTATATGGAGGAAAATTGGCTTCACGTCCAAGTCCTCGAATAAGAAAGAACGGCAAAATAATATAAAGCACATTTATTTTCTCTCATATTTGCAACCTATATGCTATTTATAAAATGTAACCATGACGCTTTTATGACCTTAGTTTTTGTGTGTAAAAAGCATGAAGGGAACAAATAAATAACAAATAACTAATATAAGAACGTTTACTAATTTATGCATGAATTAAAAAAAATAAAAAATCAAGTTTCTCTGTTAGCTGAAAGTATTGCACGATGCTTTCCCGACATAGCAACAATAAATGTTTGCATATGGATTCCACCTTAGGCCTAACAAGAAAAGATGTTGTATTGCCCTTTGCGACCGACCCAAAATTCCTGAAATCTACGGTCGGCTTAAAAGTTTTATTTATGTTACCGTTTTAAAAAAGAAAAGCATTCAATGCTGAAAAATATCATCCCAAAGGGGGAGAGAAAACAAAAAGTAAAAAAGATTTTCGACCGACCGACCCAATTTTTGGCACCTAAAGGGCAATACAACATCTTTCTTTTTTGCAATTAGGCCTTATACTAGATCGAGAGCCCATTGCAGGTGGATGAAAAAGAAGAAGAAGAAGAAGAAGAAGAAGAAGAAGAAGACTGAAGAAGAAGAAGAAGAAGAAGAAGAAGACTGAAGAAGAAGAAGAAGAAGAAGAAGAAGAAGAAGAAGAAGAAGAAGAAGAAGAAGAAGAAGAAGAAGAAGAAGAAGAAGAAGAAGAAGAATTAGAAGAAAAAAAGAAAAGAAGAAAAGAAGAAAAAAATAGAAGAAAAGAGGAAGATATAAAGACGAGAGTAAAGATAATCACGAGATACAATTTTATGATCATTGGCTCATGTTTACATGGTTTAAGGCGGTTCGCGATTTTTCTTTTTTCTAACTCGCAGGATAAAAATTGGCGCAGCGCGTTTCACTCCGATCCGCACCAGAAATTGCGCGGAAAGTGCGTTGACCTTCGCTTCTGGAGAGCTAGAGAGAGAGAGAGAGAGTTAGCTAGGCTCAACTCGGACTAATTGGCGTTGTATTCGCAGCTCAGTAAGAGCTTTTAATTCTTCGCAACGCAAGTAAAAGTGGTAAGTAAATGCACATCCAATTTTGATGACGAAGGGAGTGAGAGAAGTGTTTCATGGCTTGTAAAAAAAAATCGACGAACGTTCATGATTATGAATCTGACGAATTGAAATCGGTGAACAGTCCCATGCGTTGGGTTTTATGAGGTAGGAATTCAAGATTCAACAAACCTAATCTTCCATGCACTGCTGCATGGCATGGCCATGGATGGTCCATAGACATGGCCAGGGTAGCATTATTAGCTGGATGATGATATGAAATATGATATTGTTATCACCTAGCCTTAACTGTCACCCATACCCCTGCATGGAGAGGCAGGTAGATCTAAATAAAATTAAAAAGCCTGAATTTGCTGAAAATTTGAAATGGCAAGTGCATTCCCTCGCCTGACAAACATTGGCACACTGGCTTCACTTCGGAGTTGCACATGTTTGTTCTTATACTTAATATAACAAAAACACTGACCTCTTACAAGAGCTTGTGATATTGGTTTCGGGTGAAATGCATAGACATGCGGTGTACTCGCAAAAAAACAATTTTTGCATATTTGCCAATGTGATACTTTATAATAATTAATAGGTCTAGGGATTAGTTTAGTATAGGGAGCGCCTTTTTACACTACCTGTAATCACTTTAATAAGTTTAATTAAGGTTTGAACACTTAAAGATTTTTAATACGGAACAAATGACATATCTCAACACACTGACGGTCCACAATGGTTACTATGCTTTTGTTTTCTTGATGGGTATACAGACATTGTGCAGCAGACATGCAGCGAGGAGGTGGAAGTCGTGGTGGGGGTGTGTACAACCGGTTTGTACCAGCTAGCCGTGGCAGAGACAAGAAATCTCTGTACAGCAATGCTATCATGGGCTTTGATGAACAGGACTTGGAGAAGATCAAGAAGAGACATAGAACAGAGCAAGAGTAAGTGTCAGCTTTTACGTAGATTTTACCCAAATGTTTTGTTTGTAAAACAGAATTATGCTCCCTGTTTTTTATTATCAGGGGGGGGGGGGGATGTCAATGAAAATACAAGTAGCATGAAACCAGAATCGTTCTAAAAGTATGCTAGCGCTTGATAATTTGAAAAAGCTAAGCACTGCACTAGCTACTTGCGCCCTCTATATAGCAAACAATGCCTAATCGGTGACCATTGGTTCCCCATGATCCTCTTTTTCTTATGTTAATTAAGAGCTTATTTGATGAGATAACCATCTGTCTGTGACCATACAGGGAGGTCTAATCCCTCCTGGCAAAACTAGTGCAGTGGGGCTTTAAACAATTCATGAAAGTCTCCAGCCTTATTATTTCACGAAAGTTTCTCGTTATTTTCTGTTATCTTATGGAAAATTGGGATGAATTTAAGAACTTGAACTTAAAAAAAACTTGCTGAGTACGAAATACTAACAAGATTTCATATTGCTTTAAGATGCTATATATGTGCTGGATGTGTCCCACATGAGATAACAAATTATTTGAAGGATGCTCGGAATACAAATGCATGATTTTGGCATATTTTCATCTTACTCACTTTAAAGAATAGAACCCCTTGAAGTTAGTATGTTATGACTGTTTCATGAATTTCTTGTAGGTATTTTGATGCAGACAGTGATGAAGAGACGGGTGGCCCTGCTGCTCCAAAGAAAGTGGATACATTTGGAGATAGATACAGAAACCTGTACTATGAAGATAAAGCCCCGCCCAAGAAAGAGGAGAGCAGTGAAGACGATGAGGACCCTCTGGATGCCTTCATGGCGGGGATTAAGGTGAGGTTAATTGAGAGAGAGGGAGGAGTGGGGATGGGTTGGTGGAGGGGGAGAGAGATAGAAGAGGAAGGATCAGGGAAAGGGGGAAGCCGAAGAAAGAAGAGTGCAGCAATGAACAAGAGAACCTACAAGAAGGGGGGGGGGGGGGGGGGTAAATGAAGGGGGAGAGAACGGGGAAGAGATAAAGAGAAGGAGGACAGATCAGGGAAAGGGGTAGGAGAAGAAGGAAGAGAAGAAAGCACCCAAGAAAGAGGAGAGCAAGGATTAAGGTGAGGTTGATGAAGGGAGGAGTGAGAAAGAGATAGGAAAGAGAAAGTTGACTTTTTTCTCTTCATTTTATAGCAGAAATATTACTTTTCTACTCCAGTAATTGCAATGAGAGACTAGCATGGTATTCTTACTATTCTATGTGTGCAACCTCATGCATCTCTTATTTACTATGCCTAGTAATATGCCTATTTCTTAATTTCTTTAAAGAGTTTAGTGAGAGTGTGAGACCAATTGCGAATGAAATGTGTCAACTACTAATATCATGATAGAAATGAATAATTTTATGAGGATTATTTTCTAAGGATGAACCATAAACTGCTTTTTCTTTGTATGGAAGGTTAGATGGCTTGTAACTAACCAGAACGATCATACAGCATTAGTCAACACTGATTCCTTTATGCTGTCTCTGCCAAATATCTAGGTATTTATCTGTTATGATATATAAACAAGTACGGTCTAATCTTTATTTTCCAGGTTGAATTAACCAAGGAAGAGAAAGATGCGGAGGCAAAGAAGAGCAAGAAAGCACAGAAGGCAACCAGAAACGACATTGAAGAACTAGATGAAATGGTAAGATACAATTCAAAAGTTTGAAAATAAACAAAGAGAAGGAGAGAGCGAGATTTAGAGAGGAGGGAGAGCAGAAAACCTAATGCCATATATAGGTGTAGATGGATAATATGTACAGAAGTAATAAAGAGAAATAATTTATGTTTACTTTTTATCAAATATTTTTTGAAAATCTAATCCTGATAGACAACATCTCTAAACGAAAGCAGAAAAAATCAGAGAAGCAAACTGATGAAAGTTTCAATTAAATCTGACTAAATAAAAGAAAGTTATGAATTTTAAAAAGTTGTAATCACTATACGTATGGGCACTTCAAATTGGCTGAAGCAGTAATGTCAATGTAATGTAGTGCCGGACTGCTTTCCCATCTGTTCCAACATATAAAATGACTAAAGTTCTAAATTTGTCAAAAATTCATGCCTCAGGAGGGTCTTTTCTTTATAGAGGACCTATAATAATATGCTATCTATAATATATTTTGAATAGTGCCCCGAAGGAGAAGGAACGTACAAGAAAAACAGAAATTATTGATATTTTTGTACACAGCAAATTGGAGAGTTATCCACATCCTACGTCACAATCCACTAGCCAACCTACCAATTTGAGATTTGCATAGACTTAGTGATCTCATATATCAAACACTCCTAGCTTCCTTACTATTTGACCGATTCATTTCAAACTTTTGCCATTCTGTTTCTGTTATTTTTCTGCTTTCATACAAATCTACTTATAACAATGGTTAGAATGCCCTTTAACTATAAATAATGTCCATTTTCTTTATTTACTGAGTGTAATCAGTGAATATACCTAACCATTTTTACCACATTTTTTCTTCCTCTCAGGAAGCATATATGAAGTACATGGAGGACAACCCTGAGGCAGGTCTGAACACTCTCCCTATCAATGATGAAGATGAACCTATCGACTATGACGCTGACGGCAATCCCATAGTTCCAGAGAGGTCAAAGATCATCGACCCACTGCCTCCAGTAGACCACTCTATGGTACTCATGCCATTTCTTCATACTACAAATAATGATATGTCAATAACTCTATCTAAAAGGATGGTTATTTTTCTTCTCCATTATATATTTTTTCCCTCAGATTTCCCTCATCAATTTCCTCTGGTGATATTGACTCTTCTATAATTTTGTAATGAAAATTTCCTTTTAAGTACCTTATGGCAAGATGAAAAGGGTCAGATAAGTAAAAAAAAAGGGAAAAAGGACAGATTTGTTTTGATAATTTCTCTTTCATGTCGCCGTTCTCCGATATTAGTGTACAAGTTCCAGGCCCTTGTAGACAGCTGCAGGATTGGTCCAATCAGTGTAAAATATACTGTACTGTTTGCAAGAGATCTTTTAGGATTCGTGTTGTATAAGTGCAATATTCTCACATTGGTTTTTAAGTATTTCATAGTTTTTTACCAGAGTTAAATGAAGGTCAATGAATAGTTTTCTGTTTTCCATACTTGCAGGTTGACTATGAGCCTTTCAACAAGAATTTCTACAATGAGCATGAGTCCATCCAAACACTCAACTACTCGGTTGTGTTGGATCTACGCCAGAAACTCAATATCAAGGTAAGTTGAGCACCAGGGCAGCGTCTCACAAAACCATCATAAGTACAAGTTCACCGACATTCCTTTGAAATGCATGTAATAAATTTAACACGCATTTCAATAGGATGTCGTTGAACTCGTACTTATGACGGTATCATGAGACGCTGCCCTGGACATAGATAAACAAAGGTTTGCAACTACAGAGTGTAACTTGGTTATGTACAGTTAACAAATGAATTATTCATACCCTTGTAAATTTTGTGTTTTTTGTAGAAAGAAATGAATTATTTTCCCCTAATCCTAACCCTAATGCCATCCCAAATCCCACCCCACCCTCAACACCCATTGCCCTTTACCCATCATCTATTAACAAACACTTATTATTCAATACCTATTACCCAATGTCCATTGCCCAATACCTAATACAAAATACACAATACCCATTATGCAATACCAATTACCAATTACACAATATTCATTACCCATACCTATACCTATTATGGTATATGTATACCCAAACCACTTGCATTATAGGTATTCAACAGTTAAGCCTACTTTTGAAAATGTTTTGATCTTTTGCCACCCCCTTTTCTTCCCAGGTGTCTGGAGCTGATCCTCCTAAGCCAGTAACAAGTTTTGCTCACTTTGGATTTGATGAGCAGCTAATGCACTGCATCAGGAAATCAGATTTCTCTAGCCCTACCCCAATCCAGGCACAGGTAAGGATCGTGGTAGAGACCAAGAAAATTCTCGCCATCGCCAATATGCCTAAAATGCCCAATGTAGCCTCTTGGCTGTAATTTTGAGGCATTTCCAGTGTACAGCGGCCCGTGTGCATGTATTATGCATTAAGCGCAATGTACGTATGTGTCTGAAAGCTATTTCTAGGTTCGTAAAATTTTTTGATGGCAGCAACCTTAAAACGAGAAAGATACTCCAAATCAAATCAACGACCAGACAGGAAGTGACTTGGACACCAAATTATCAAAGAGTGCATTTGAAATGGGGCCTGAATTTAACTTACAGGTATTTTTAAGTTATTGGCGATAGCGAGAATTGATAGAGGTTGTTGTTATGTTGTTAGTGATTATGGTATTGTGATGATGATGGGGTTGTTGGTGTGGTAGTGATATAGATATGCTTTTGATTGTGGACTATGGTAGTGATCATTTGTGGTAGTTGTGTTTATGTTAGTAGTTGTGGTAATAGTGTTATTGTGGTAGGTATCATAATAATAGTGATGTTGGGGTAGTAGAGGTTGTAATGGCGTTGACGATAGCGATAGTGATAGTGATAATGTATTTGTAAAATGATATAGAATTTAGATCAGAAAAGAATGGATCAAAATATTGGGTTAAAGTGTGAATTCAAAAATTATTGTATATCATATAATCATTTGTAAATGAGATTTTACTCTTGTAATTGTGAATTTGATATTCAATGAGAATCAAAGATTATTTATGTCAAAATGTTTGACATTGATGATTGTGACTGCTTCTGACTCCTGCACTCATACATGTGTACCCTATTTTCTTGTAACAGGGCGTTCCCATTGCCATGTGTGGTCGTGATGTGATCGGTATTGCTAAGACAGGCAGTGGGAAGACGGCTGCTTTCGTGTGGCCTATGCTCGTACACATCATGGACCAGGTGAGAAAGATAACATTCATCAAAGTGCTTTAAAATCAGATTAGTGTTAGTTTAAAGCCTATCTGCACTTGTTTGGCCAGTAGGGATTTGACCTCCTTGTGTGCTCATCAAATCAGCTCTCAATTAACATGAGAAAAAGGGGACCATGTGGGATCAAAGGGTACCCGTTTAGGCATTGTTTACTACAAGTAGTGCAGTCCCGCTTAAATTTAAGCTTAATTTTAAGTTTAATTCTGTTATGGGCTATCCATGCTTACATCAACTTTAGCAATGATTTTGATCATTATCAAAGAAATTATGCAATCTATTCAAGTCCTGTCTAACCGCCATTTTCATTGAAAATAGTGCTGCAATAAGTGGTTGCATTGAAATAAAAAATGAAAAGAGGAAAAAAGAAAACAACAGTTCTATGCTTTTTTGATAATTATTGATGTCTGTTTTCATGGCAAGAGCATATTATGAATATCAACAATTAATCGTTGTGAATCATTTTGCAGCATTGACCACTCTTAATATGAGTTAGTTTCAATTTTAGTGTAAATCTCTCTCTTTATTGCATTAATTGGAGTAAGAAATTATTACTATTTTGGGCATGTTTTCTTTTTCCTTCAGAGAGCAATCAAAAAAGGTGATGGACCTATAGGACTTATCTGTGCCCCTACCAGAGAACTTGCACAACAGGTAATCAGATATTCTGTATCATTCTGCATTAAATTAATCCTTGATATTGTGATTGATAAATTTATCGCCATCATATTAGTCTTCTATCAGTCTCCTCATGGGCTATCTACTCTGCCATTGTTGCGATAAACATATAAATTATTTATTCTCAAATTTCTGTTTTATTAAAAAAAAAAATATATATATATATATATAACATTGCAATGTTATATTAACAATGCAACTTGTAATTTGCATGTTAATAAAAAAATACTTGCTCAGTTTTCAATATCTTTTAATGTGTTATCAATTTCTGTGATTGACATCGTCATTTCAACACATCATCATCATTTTCCTTAGCTCTATTTCATGTACATGTGTAAAACAAGGAATTAACAGACCACCCCTATGTACATGTTAAGTTTAAAAAGAAAGGAAAATTGTTTTTTTCCCACAGATTTATATGGAGGTGAAGAAGTTTGGGAAGGCGTACAACATCCATGTTGTGTGTGCGTATGGAGGCGGTAACATGCATGAACAACAGAGGGCATGTGAGGAGGGGCCAGAGGTCATCGTCGCTACACCTGTAAGTTCAATTAAATTAATTTGATTTAATATGTTCTTTCCACAATTCGATAAAAATGACAATAAAAACACACAAAACAACCTATAAACATAGCCAAGTAGTAAAGATAGAATTTAATGACAATAAAATGTATAGTACAAAATTACAATAGAAAGAAATTTAAAAAACATCAAAATGTGGAGAGACAAACAAAGGCCAGTCACAGGCTTGTCCCTGGAAATATATAATACATAATAATATACTTAAGAGAATTATAGATATGTTAGACACGCACACACATACACACAAGAAAAGTAATTAGATCTGTATAACATCAGGTCGTATCTGACATTTGCATTATTTAGTGAATTATGTTTTCCTTTTTATTGATTCTGTGAAAGTCCCAATAAAGATAAAAATGATGTACATAATCTACCTGAATTATAGTATGGATGATAACTAGTACATGTAAACTCACTGCAATGTTTCAAATGTAGAAACATTGTATTATATGCACAGTAGTGCAAAAATATACATGCAGCTAAACGGGAAGCTCATGGATTCCATTCAAAATACTAAATACAATGAAATAAGATAAGAATTGTGATTTGTTTGATATTCATACAATAGTGAAATAACAATTATACGTACATCCGTTTGGAGATTCCCTGAATCTCATTAGACATCTTTGAGAGAATGTAAAAACATTTGGCATCAGTATTTATCGATACCCATGGAACATTATGAGGTAATATGCCTATTTTTTCATGCTACCTTCGAATAAAAAATAAAAAATCTCCATACAGTGCTGCACAACAAGGATTATATGGAAACTAGAATGCATTATCTATCTAATATGTATAGCTAGAAAGAAAAAGATTTTTTTGAGTTTGATATGTTTGTGATGTGATCTTTGAGTGTTGTTCTCTATTTGTAGGGTCGTTTGATTGACCTGGTAAAGAAGAAAGCAACCAACCTGCGCAGAGTATCCTATCTCATATTCGACGAGGCTGATAGGATGTTTGATATGGGCTTTGGTAAGTTTTCATAGTGTTCATGTAGAGGTGTCGTGGTCTAGTGGATAAGTCACCCGACTGCAGATCACAAGGTACGGGTATCAAATCCCAGCCTAACACTCTCCACCCAGGTGATAAATAGGTGGTGACACGACATTTGCTCCTGCGACAATTGCTCCGGGCTTTATTTCGTCTAAGATGTAGGGTTAGGGTTAGGGTTTCAATAGGGTTTTATGTTAGGTTTAGGGTTAGGTTTAGGGTAGGGTATAGTGTTGAATCCAGGTTTGAAGTTAGCCATTCGATTAGTGTATGAAATTTACAGCGGAGCAATTGTCGCCGGAGCAAATGTCATGGAATCAAATAGGTACCTGGTAGGATGCGAAAAATTGATATAGTTTTCTCAGCATTGTGAGCATCTGTAAAATAATGACTTGCTGGAATGCTCCTCAGGGAGTGGAGAATGTTGTGCATCCATTGTGTGAGGGTGAACCTGAATCCGATGATCGGGGTAATAATATATCTGTTAAGTGCTTATGTGATGATCATCTGGATTTATATAGTGCTTAATACGATATACCGTGAGTGCTTACAGATATAATTACCCCGGACATTGGATTCATTCATGCACAATGTGCACCATATCCACTCCCTGGGGAGTATTCCTACCATATGGTCACCATGAGGCATATGGCAATTGCTAACACAAAGGCTTTTGTCATCCTACCAGGTCTCCATTTCTCTCCTGGGTATGGAGTGGCAAACGTAGATTAATGCCTTGCCAACGGCCATTAGTGCCGTGTCTGGGATCGAACCCACAACCTTTGCATTTGAAGTCAAGTACTTAAACCACTCGACTACAACAACTCTGCTTCATGGTTATAAACCATGCAACATTTGTAGACAGTTTATCACTATTGCATGTACCCGTCAACAACTTTGAAAGTGTCGCTGCACTTGATTTATGCACAAATCTATTCCAGAATTCAGGGAAGATACATACTTAATGTTTCATACTTAATGTAATCTTGTTTTTATTTGTTTTCCATAAAAAAATTGGTCATGAAACTTGTGCATTGCACTTGCCTTGGATCTTCTAATTTTCACTTTCAAGAAAAAATCGTCAATTTGATATATCACTTAATTATCGTGCTGCCTGATATGCTTTAGATTTATGGTATGGCTATAATTGAATTTGTGCAATATCCTTGTTTTTTTCCTCTTCTTTTTAGAGCCTCAAGTGCGGTCAATAGCTGACCACGTGAGACCAGACCGACAGAGTAAGTGTACCGAAAAGAAATAACTCAAAATCACACAAATGAGTTTAGATCATTTTGCATATCCTTATTCTTATCCAAACAAGAAGATTGATTTTATAATCAAATCGTACCAGCAGTCTGAGAAATAGACATCGGTCAATATGTGACTATCATATATAATGGTCACTTAAACTAATACTGGATGCCTCTTCATACCGGACACCCCGTAAATGGCTGTATATCTTCAGAAGTAAAGTGTTATGCAAAGAAAGGTCAATGTTTTTTGACGAGTAGACCTACTTGCCGTTACCCAGCGCAAAATACAGCAATGTGAATTTTCGCTTCAAAGGCATGTTAATGCGCGCACGTTTCATTTAGAAGCTTTTTTGTAGTACGAAGAATAGCATTAAGTATCCGGTAAAAAGTTAACGCATCATACTAAATGCATACAAGAAGCTTTATCAGTGATCTTATCTTCCTCTATTCATTACTATATGTCTAGGAAGAATGTTGAGTACTATACAAAGAAAAGAAATAATCTTTGCTTCGATTTTTGCCTAACTAATTTTTGCCTAAATTTTTTAGCATTTCTCTCATTGTTTCAGCTCTTCTGTTCAGTGCTACGTTTAGGAAGAAGGTAGAACGCCTTGCTAGAGACATCCTGACAGACCCTATCAGAGTTATACAGGGAGACATTGGAGAGGTAGGCTTCTCGGACTACATCTTTCTTGAAATTCATTACCACTGGCTCCCAGTTAAAAACGGATTGAATACAGAATCCTAACGCATGTCTTTAAGGTACTCCACACTACTTCACCTGAGTACCTGAAAGATCTCCCCACCATAAAGCAATCCCATTACTCACTCTGTTCTTGTTCCTCTACCATCCTAGAAGTCCCCAGAACCCTAACCACCCATGACGGGGATCGTGCATTTGTGTATGTTGCACCAGTTCTCTGAAACATTCAATGCCTAGAATACTCACAGATACATGTTAAAAAGCTTTTATTTACTCAGAGTTACCACTGTTAGTATGTTGTTAAATTCTGGAGAGAGATTAGTGTATTTGTATAGCGCCTTGAGTAAGTTATCATAGACATTTTGAGGTTTCACAATGTGGGTGAAACAACGGTCAACCTTTTTTGGAACGTCAAGATTTGCTCTCTCTCTCTCTCTCTCTCTCTCTTTCCGCCTTGATAACCTAGTTCGATCATCAGTCCTTTTCAGGTCTGTAGTCATGAAAGAATTTTCCCCTCTCTCTCTCTCTCTCTTAATTTCTCTACCTCTCCCCCAACAATATCAAGTAGCCATCCACAGGACAAAACCGAAAGAATGACTTCTCTCGCCCTCTCTTTTGTTATCTATCCCCTTTCAAACTCAACAGTCCTTTTCAGGACCACCCATATGGTAAAATAGCAAATTTATATGAATGTTGTTGATGTATACTTGTCTTCTTTTGTCAAGTTTTGCCTCACAGTTTCCTTGGAATCTGTCCATACTAGCAAAAAGTATGAGAAGCAAATATCTCACAAATTTTGTTTTCTTTTCATATTTTGTTTATAATCAGACATTCTATCTACGGTAGTCAAATATTGTGAAGTTCTAGTCTTGATTTCATGTACTTTAAAGACTTCATTAATTTGTTTTATGTCTGTTTGTGTCAACAGGCCAACCAAGATGTAACTCAAGTTGTAGAAATCTTCAGCGATCAGACAAGGAAGTTCCCCTGGCTCCTTGCCCGGCTTGTCCGCTTCACCACAGAGGGCAGTGTTCTTATCTTTGTCACAAAGAAAATCAATGCAGAAGAGCTGGCTACAAGCCTTAAAAGAAAAGATTTTGATGGTAAGGAGAGACAGAGATTTAATCACAGCGATAGAAAATTGAAAAATAAAGAAGTAAGAAATAGAAAGAGAGAGAGAGATGATGATAATGGATGTTGATGGTGGTGGTGGTGATGATGATGATGATGATGATGATGATGATGATTGATGGTGGTGGTGGTGATGATGGTAATGATGATAATGATGATGATGATGATAATTGATGGTGGTGGGGGTGATGATGATGATGATGATGATGATTGATGGTGGTGGTGGTGATGATGATGATGATGATGATAATTGGTGGTGGTGGTGATGATGATGATGATGATGATGATGATGATTGATGGTGGTGGTGGTGGTGGTGATGATGGTGATGATGGTAATGGTGATGATGATGATGGTGGTAATGATGATGATGATGATGATGATGATGACAATGATGACGTTGATGATGTTGATGATGATGAAGATGTTGATGATGATGATGTTGGTGATGTTGATGATGATGATGATGATGATGATGGTGATGGTGATGATGATGATGGTGATGATGATGATGATGATGGTGATGATGTTGATGATGATAATGTTGATGATGATGATGTTGATGATGATGACGTTGATGATGTTGATGATGATGAAGATGTTGATGATGATAATGTTGGTGATGATGATGATGATGATGGTGGTGGCGATGACAGTTAAACAGAGTGAAAGACAGGGAGGTGGGAGAAAGAAAGAAGGAGAGGGAAAGAGATACTGAAATTTGAAAATCGTTAAGAGGAAGAAAAAAAAATGAAATGTATACAATAGTTATTGTTTTGTTTTGTAACACAGAGGAAGATAGAGTAGCCTGTGGAGGGTTAAATATCATTTTATTTTAAAAAAAAGGTTAAAATAATCCATGCAATAATCTCTATATTTTAGTTAAATGTCATAATTTCTTGCTTTTGAATTTCAGTTGGTTTACTTCACGGAGACATGAATCAGCTTGAAAGAAATTCAGTCATCACGGCTTTCAAGAGGAGAGCCATCCCAATCCTAGTAGCAACAGATGTAGCAGGTAAGCTTTGCATGTTAGTGATATAGTTAAAGGCACACTGTCCTACTTGTAGCTACTTGCTCCCTCTATATTGAAAACTTCCCAAATCGGTGCCTGTTGGTCCCCCATGATCCTCTTTTTCTTATGTTAAATGAGAGCTGAGTTAATGAGATAGCCACCTGTCACAGTGACCTCGCTGGCTCGCTGTGTGGTCTAATCCCTTCTAGCTGAAGTAGTAAAGCCTCCCTTTAAAGCTTTTACCAACCTTAAAATTTAGTAGGCAAGCTTAATCCTTTTTATCCAGATTGATTCTTTCACCTTTCTTGACCAGAAATGTGTTTCAAAGTCAATAATATGGGCATCATCCCATCATATCGTCCCTGTTTTCACGAAGTGACGGTAGTGAGGAAAATCGTCACGCAAAGTGAATGCAATTTTTTTTCGCTACCGTCACTTCGGGAAAACAGCGACGATATGTTGTGTCCAGTATTAAAGATGTGTTTTGCTACTGCTGAATGAGGTGGATTGCTCAATCTGAGGGCTCTTTTGCGTTCTTTCTTTCAGTGTTCTCCCTGTTTCTCCAACATAGGAATTGTCACAATCAATGCATCTTGTAGAAAATGCCTGTCCTTTCTTCTGCAGGTGATTCATCTTTTGGATATTATGTTAATGTGCATAATGTTCTACATCATGATTTTGTCTCAATATGGTGATCACCGCTTTTCAAATTGTGGACCATAGGCCTCTGGCTTGCAAAAAAAATGTATTATTTGTCAGCGAGTATGTATAAATCATCTTCATGTTTCCTTTTTTCATGACAGCGAGAGGTCTAGATATCCCGTCAATCAAGAATGTGGTCAACCATGATGTCGCTTGCAACTATATGTAATCAACTTCATGTTTCTTTCTTTCTTAACAGCGAGAGGTCTAGATATCCCTTCAATCAAGAATGTAATCAACCATGATGCCATTTGGAACTATATGTAATCAACTTGATGTTTCTTTCTTTCTTGACAGCGAGAGGTCTTGATATCCCTTCAATCAAGAATGTAATCAACCATGATGCCATTTGGAACTATATGTAATCATCTTCATGTTTCTTTCTTTCTTGACAGCGAGAGGTCTAGATATCCCTTCAATCAAGAATGTAATCAACCATGATGTCATTTGGAACTATATGTAATCAACTTGATGTTTCTTTCTTTCTTGACAGCGAGAGGTCTTGATATCCCTTCAATCAAGAATGTAATCAACCATGATGCCATTTGGAACTGTAATCAGTTAATCATCTTCATGTTTCTTTCTTTCTTGACAGCAAGAGGTCTAGATATCCCTTCAATCAAGAATGTAATCATCCATGATGTCATTTGGAACTATATGTAATCAACTTCATGTTTCTTTCTTTCTTGAGAGCGAGAGGTCTAGATATCCCTTCAATCAAAAATGTAATCAACCATGATGTCATTTGGAACTATATGTAATCAACTTCATGTTTCTTTCTTTCTTGATAGCGAGAGGTCTAGATATCCCTTCAATCAAAAATGTAATCAACCATGATGTCATTTGGAACTATATGTAATCAACTTCATGTTTCTTTCTTTCATGACAGCGAGAGGTCTAGATATCCCTTCAATCAAGAATGTAATCAACCATGATGTCATTTGGAACTATATGTAATCAACTTCATGTTTCTTTCTTTCATGACAGCGAGAGGTCTAGATATCCCTTCAATCAAGAATGTAATCATCCATGATGTCATTTGGAACTATATGTAATCAACTTCATGTTTCTTTCTTTCTTGACAGCGAGAGGTCTTGATATCCCTTCAATCAAGAGTGTAATCAACCATGATGTCATTTGGAACTATATGTAATCATCTTCATGTTTCTTTCTTTCTTGACAGCGAGAGGTCTAGATATCCATTCAATCAAGAATGTAATCAACCATGATGTCATTTGGAACTATATGTAATCAACTTCATGTTTCTTTCTTTCTTAACAGCGAGAGGTCTAGATATTCCTTCAATCAAGAATGTAATCAACCATGATGTCATTTGGAACTATATGTAATCAACTTCATGTTTCTTTCTTTCTTGACAGCGAGAGGTCTAGATATTCCTTCAATCAAGAATGTAATCAACCATGATGTCATTTGGAACTATATGTAATCAACTTCATGTTTCTTTCTTTCTTGACAGCGAGAGGTCTAGATATCCATTCAATCAAGAATGTATATCAACCATGATGTCATTTGGAACTATATGTAATCAACTTCATGTTTCTTTCTTTCTTAACAGCGAGAGGTCTAGATATTCCTTCAATCAAGAATGTAATCAGCCATGATGTCATTTGGAACTATATGTAATCAACTTCATGTTTCTTTCTTTCTTGACAGCGAGAGGTCTAGATATCCCTTCAATCAAGAATGTAATCAACCATGATGTCATTTGGAACTATATGTAATCAACTTCATGTTTCTTTCTTGACAGCGAGAGGTCTAGATATCCCGTCAATCAAGAATGTGGTCAACTATGATGTGGCCAGAGACATTGATACTCATACTCATAGGATAGGAAGAACAGGACGTGCAGGTAAATACATACCTAGTCATTCTCACTGTTTATGTGTTTCTCATCTCATTTCGTAAGAATCTGAAGATGCGTTAAATCAACATTGATATTTGTTGAGAGATAAAGATGGTAGTTTGTAAATTTTGTTCTTGTATTGAGATTGTACTGATTATGTATTGTAAATTTATTGTTAATTAAAACAATTATAGATCAATAGGAAAAAGAAGGGTAGTAGTTTCGGGCCACAAGGCTGTAAATGTTATAAACATTTCCTTGCTTTTTTTATGCCTCCGTTACGAAGTAGCCGGAGGCATTATGTTTTCGGGTTGTCCGTCCGTCCGTCCGTCTGTACGTACGTACGTCTGTACGTACGTACGTACGTCCCGTTCTCGTGATCGCGTTATCTGAAGAACGGATTAATGGATTCCTGCCAAACTTTGGTCATGTATGTATCTTGCAGAGCCGATGAACTGAGTAGATTTTGGGGGTCACGAGTTCAAAGGTCAAAGGTCACAGGGCTCATTATGTATGCAAAAACAGCTCGTGATCGCGTTATCTCAAGAACCGATTGATGGATTCCTGCCAAACTTAGGTCATGTATGTTACTTGCAGAGCCGATGAACTGATTAGATTTTGGGGTCACGAGGTCAAAGGTCAAAGGTCACAGCGCACATTATGTATGCAAAAACAGCTCGTGATCGCGTTATCTCGAGAACCGATTGATGGATTCCTGCCAAACTTAGGTCATGTATGTTACTTGCAGAGCTGATGAACTGATTAGATTTTGGGGTCATGAGGTCAAGGTCAAAGGTCATGCGGCTCATTATGTATGCAAAAATAGCTTGTGATCGCATTATCAATAGAACAGATTGATGGATTCCTGCCAAACTAAGATCATTCATGTATCTTGCAGAGCCAATCAAGTGAGTAGATTCTTGGTTCATAAGGTCAAAGGTCAAAGGTCATGGGCTCATTATGTATGCAAAAATAGCTTGTGAACGCATTCTCATTAGAACTGACGGATGGATTACTATTAACTCAGGACATCTTGCAGAGCCAATGAACTGAGTAGATTTTAGGGTCATGAGGTCAAAGATCAAAGGGTCATATATGTACGTGAGAAATTGCTTGTAATCACGATATTCTGAGAACCTGTTAATGGATTACAATTGAACTTGAATTTAAAAATATTTCTTCTGTTTTGGTTTGTAAAGTTGCTCTATGACGGAGGCATCATTTTCGACTGCGCGCAGTCGAAATTCCATCTAGTTTTTTTTTACTGTAACTCTACAAGCTTTGACTAACTAATGGAAAAAGTTATGGACTGCCACATTAAATCTATAAGGTTAAATAACTAATGGAACAAACATAGGATTGGCACATTTTGACTGTTGTTTCACCAACAGTGCATATGGAACACATACTGGTACTGCAAAGCATGTCAATCCTAGTCGAGACTTAACTAATAATCACTGCTCAGTATTTTGTTATTGAATTTTAACCACAATTATTTCAATTCATGCTTCCTTCTTATCTGCATTCACAGGCTTGAATGAAACCAAAGCCCAAATGTAGATTGTTCATGTTGGAAAGTCTAAGGAAGGCTTTCTATATCTATCTGTAGGCTGGCTACACATTTAGAATTAGTTGCCAGGTGTTGTAGGCACTTTGTAAAGAGTCGCAATTTGGGCTTGAGTTAACAAGAGGAGTTATTTTTTTCTGTTTCAGGCGAGAAGGGAACAGCATACACACTCATCCTAAAGAAAGACAATCAGTTTGCTGGTGACCTTGTGCGGAACTTAGAGGGCGCTGATCAAGCAGTACCCAAATCACTGTTAGACCTTGCAATGCAGGTATGAGTGATATGTTTATATGTACATATATTATAGGAAGTTTCCTCCACAGGCTTTACATGCTAGTACAAGAAGCGTACATAATTTATTTTAGTTGGGGCACAACTCAAAAATTTATATATTAATATTTTGAAAAATTGAAAATGTAGCCATTTTGTGTGTTGGGAAAAATGGGAAAGTTGTCCCCCACTACATTACAGAGACATTTCTGATTCAACCAATTTGAAGAGCCCATACCTATAGTGATTAGCAATTTTTGAAATTCATAACATTCTAATTTTTCTGCTTTCATCTAGAGTAGTTTGCTATCAAGGTTTGATTTCACTGTCACTACCTGTAGTCACAATGCATTCCACATAGCTGTTTACTTCATATTTTGTATGCATAACTATTTCCTTGTACAGAAACATTTGGAAAACCTGTAAGATTGTCAAGAACAAATTCTGCTAGGAAAGCATTGATGATTATTTTCAGATTATATGATGGAAATGTGACGTAAAAGAATGAAACAGAAATTTAACTTTAGAATTTAGAGTGGGAGACACTGACGGTTCTGTAATCTGTTTCCTCTTCAGAATCAATACTTCAAGAAGTCTCGATACCGGGCTGGCAAGGGAAAGCGCCTTAACATCGGAGGTGGTGGACTCGGTTACCGTGAGCGACCATCATTCAGATCAGGAGGGGGAGGAGGAGCAGGAGGAGGTGGAGGAGGAGGAGGAGGGGGTGCTGGTGGGTCATCCATGGAATTTCTTGGTTCTGGAGATGGAGATGAAGAGAATAGAGGCGTAGGAAGCCTCTATACCAACAGACTAAATGCCATGAAGAGTGCTTTCTCTGTAAGTCTACATTCACATCTGGGGGGTGTTTCACAAAGATCCTAAGTCAAACTTAACTCTTAGTTGGACTTTAAGATTATGGAGAGCCATTTGTAGCCATAGAATAAAATATATTCAAAAGCGAAAATTCAAGTATTTTAGACTTTTTATAAATTCCACATTAAGAACATGATATCTCCTTGATTATAGAACATATGAATGATTTGAATCAACATTTTATGCCTTCTATAATAACTTTTACGAAATATTCTCATAGATTATTACGGCTTTCCATAATTGTTAAGTCCGACTTTGAGATAAGTTTAACTTAGGACCTTTGTGAAACACCCCCTGTATATATTTGATTACTAACCATTACAGTATTTCAAGATGGTTGAAATTGGAAGCAAAATTGAGATGTTTGTAATTGTTGATAATTCTGTTGCTTGGCAAGATGAACTGAAAGCAGTTTCTATTTTTATTAGCAAGAATCAATAAGTAATCATCATGCTTTTGATTCCACAATTTTAGCTAATTGTAAAGGAAAGAAACTTATGGAACAAAATCAAGCCATATAAATCAAACAAATACAAGGATGACAGTTTTTAGGTTTTGCCTAATTTCAGGCCATGTTACTTTTCTACCAACCCATTCAGGCTTTCTATTGTACAGAATGTACAGGGTTCCAGTGACTTTGTATCAAACCAAGTTTTACACAGACATGCAGTGACACCTAGTTTGCGTAATGTAAAGACGCATAGATAGTAGTAGGCTGTCATGGGAAATTTGACACCATTCAGGTGTTTACCCAATAATATGTGTTGTCAATCATTAGGATTAGCCTTCAGTTTTATGTCCAACAGGTCTCATGCAATGTTCTGCACTTTCAACCAATTGCCCTGTATGGAAAGGTCATTATTTTACATTGCTCTCACATGAAGACTCTCCAAGAGACTGGGTGTTATTTCTTGATGGGACCATGTATTTGCTTTTCTACCCTCAGTATATTCCATGGCATATTTTTGCCTAACCCTAACCTGATTCTATCCCAATTCCCAATCCACTACCAATTACCTGTTGCCCTTTACCCATTATCTATTTATAACAAATACTTATTATCCAATTGAACCATTGAACCGAAGACTGTCCGATAGACTGGGGGGTATTTCTTGATGGGACTATGGGTTTGCTGTGTGCAAGACTTGTTCACCAATTAATGGTATTTCCATCAAGTGAGATGTCGAGGAATTATGACTGCAATCATAATTATAAACCTTTAGGTCAGTCAGGAATCCAATGAATTTTACAAGCCGATCGCCTGTCTGATTATCAAGATATTTATGATTGGAAATCGAAATTTCATTTTTCGTTTTCCTATCGGTTTTTTATAACACTACAGTCTATTGGGGAAGATGAGTATGGTAAAACCGGCCAAGATTTTTACTTTTTTGAGGCACTTCATGATCATTTTGAAGCGCAATTTTTTTAGGGCTTCAATATAACACCATATCACAGACACTGATAACACGTAAGGCCATGCATCTCAGATTTAACATTGTTAAACGATGCATTTAACACAATTTTCTACTTGATTTCCAGAATCAGTTCAAGTCTCATTTTGTGGCTTCCACTTCCTCTCCGTCCACGTCCAACATGTCCTTCCGTACACCGACCCAGTTTGAATCTGGTAACAACAAAGCAGTAGGGGGGAGACCCTCCTCCCAGCATCAGCCTCCCCCTCCCCAGCAGGTCAGACACCAGCCCCTCCCCGCCCCTGCATCCCACCTGGGTGGGGGAGGATACATCAGTAGCAGTCAAGTCAGCAGTAGCACCGGTGGACTATACTCTGCCATGGCTCCTATGGTCAGGTAGGTGAATGGGGAAGGGTGACAGCGAGATTATGGTGTAATTGAAGTGTACCAAACAAATTCAAAAATAATTTGTATGCATGTATAGCTAGAATGTATAAAATCAACCTCAAATTTTGTTTACCTGCATGCGAGAGTACAAAAATATCACTAGATGCAATGAATATACTCAATAAATATGAGTTTGCCTAAAAGTAGTCCCAGCAAGACATGTTTAAATTGATGCCGATGTAATCATGTGACGACACATAAATATATTGATTAGAATAAATATGATTAATGAAGAAATAAGAAATGAAGGTAATTTGGGTTATGGTGATGAGCAATGGGAAGATGAATGACATTATGCATGTTAACTAGTTAATAAGTCATTACTCAAAATGCATTATCTTTTTAATAAAATAAGTCTTGATCATATAAGAATTAATTTTACCAGTTATTTTTGTATCTATATCCTGACAGATCCTACATACCATCGCAACAAGCCGCCTCAACCTCCTCCTCATCATCAGCTATGCCGCCATCATCGGCAATGTCGCCATCATCATCACAGGGCGGTGAGGGGTCAGGTCACGATAGAGGTCACGAGAGAGGGGCGAGTGTCAGCTTCGGCCACGTCCGTAGATCCAACGTGGGCCGTGATCGCAGCTCGGGAGGGGGTCACGGCGAACGTGATCGCAGCTCCGGAGGGAGTCATGGGGAACGACGGCGCAGCAGCAGCGGTGGACGGGATCATCACGATGATGATAGAACGGATAGAGGTCACAAGGTAGACGGGTCGGAGGTCAGAGGTGAAGAGGATGGGGATGTTCCAGACCCGGATGAGAGCACGCCGGAGGAAGAGAACCATGGCTGGACTTTGAGAGGGGTCAATTTTGGAGTCGGGAGTGGTACTAGTGGGTTACATGGTAGTGCGGTCAGCAGTAGCAGTATCAGTAGTAGCTCTACTGGTGGAAGCTCAGCTGAACAACCAAAGCCGAAACGTAAGAGTCGTTGGGATACGTAAGGATAAGATGTAGTGTGGACTTAGTTCACCTTCTATCTGTAATATGTACATGTATTCTTTCTTATTGTACAATGCTGAGTTAAATTATGGCACTGGTTTATTAAAATGGGTTGCATGTAGGATTGAAACTCTGGCCAGAAGTTGCTTGCTAAAAAGAATCCATGATTTATTTTTAGTCCTAGTAGCTTTGTTGAACTCAATTGGCCTAGATCTTCTTCATGCCTCCGAGTTGAGTACAGCAAGTAATAACATACATACATTTTAAAGATCCAGTTAACCCTGCATTAGTCAAATCTGTTGGAACCGCAAAAATGATATGACTTGTGCAAAATTTGTTCGACATAGTAAGTGTTAAGAATACATTTTGCATGGTTTGGTAAAAAAAAATGATCCAACTTAGGGATGATTTGAATTGTGTGACTTTGAGTTATGCAGAGTTCACTGTAGTTGGTTGATGATGTGCTGATGTCTTTCAACTTCTTTGACAATCATTAAGAGTTCATCCCGGACTTGACCTGGAATAGGGCCAAGTCCTTATGTCCAAAAGCCCAAGTCCAAGTCCTAAAGAATTGGACTCAAGTCCAAGTACTACAACACGGGTTAATTCCGGTAAATGTTACACAGCCATCCCAAGGTATTTGTAAGATAGCCAACCCGTGGTATTTTTGTAAGACTCTTTTGTCAGATAATTCTGCTTGATAATAGCGTCAGGTTTGTCATTATTGTACTTTGTAATATATGTGTCTAAAAGTATCTTTGACTGTAAAACTTACATGAAACACAATTACAGAGACTTTCGAAAAGACCAACCCAAGACAATTTCAATGGCTTTGTGTATCACTTCTTGAAGAGTGCAAACATTACAATTACATGTTAATAATCTGAACATAATCTGAGCATGATTTTCAATAGGCAATACAAAAGGACATTGAAACTGCCCTGGAGTTAACAGTCAAACCTGTCTATAGCAACCTTCCAAGGAAAACACAAAACGTTGTCTTTGAAGACAGGTTCCTTTAGTACATGTACATGTTTCAAAGGGAAACAAAAAATGTGGTATTTGTAGACAGGTGGTCACTACAGCAGGTTCGATCGTATAATGAAAGTCTATGTTATTGCGTTACTGTACGTTATCAATTGCAAGAATGGGCACTGGGCAGGATCTTCACAATACATGAGAAATATCAGGTAGAGCCATTCTTTGCTTTGTGACCCCATGGCTTATACTACATGGACAATGCTGAAGGCCAGGAGAGTGTTAGGGATGTTTAGATACAAGATTAAAATCAAAGAAACAAACATATGTTGGGCTCCTTTCAACTTTTCTTAATGAAAGTTTGTTTTATTTTAGGTCATACAGATATATTTTTCTGTAATATCTATTGTTGATGAAGGGATAAGTAACATTCTTTCAAATGTAAATATAAATAGTTCACAAAAGCTCAATGTAATTTTAGTACATACACATGCATAATGTATATGTACAAGGAAAGATACTATGTATTTTTCATGTAGGTATGTTCAATAAACTACAATTTAATCAGCATCAAACAAAGTAGTCTCTTTTATTTTGTTCTTTAGAATCAATTTATTTGTGGCATAAAATATATAGAATATATATGTATTTTTTCCACTACACTTCTTTACGCTTCCATATTATAAGGGTAGGATATTATATTAGAATACAAGTATCAAAAAACATTCTATAAAATAAAAAACAAAAGTAAGAAAATATTTGTTTCTTCTTCAAGATCCCACTTTGATGTCATTACCAAAAATTCAAAAGAGCAGTCATCTTGGCATGTTTGTTTTTACCCTTCCAAATATCTATATAATTTTTTACTTGTTTATTTCACTAATTTGTAAAATATTTAGTAAGCAAAAGCAGAAAAAGTATGCCTCATTCAGAGGAGCATATTTGGTGGATTAAAAAAAAAAAATGTTGAAAGGTTTTATTTGTCAGAAGATAAAACAAATTAAAAATATGTGTTACATTTGTTTTGCAAAAAAAAACAACACATTTACATTTTAACTTAAAAAAGACGGTGTAATTCATTTTAACATGATATATGATTTGACATTAAATCATTTTATGACAGAACCATTATACATCACAAGATCTTCTACACTTCTGGGTAATGAAGTTGTTGCACATGTAGTAATTTAGTAAGGCAACGTCATAAATCTGTTAATAAAAATGAAATGAAATGCCAAATTACAGATTGCATTTCATGGTTTTTTCAGTACACCAGGCACACCAAAGTTAACATGTGTGGAACAATAAACCGGAATTATATATTTGTATAACATTGGTAATAAATAATATTGGCATTTGTTTATTATTCACAGAAAGAGCTATGTTGGGGAGGCCTCTTGCAAGCTGTCAGAGCATGATAGCAACCTTTGTGACGGATACCTCTCAGTACTTCATCTCATAATTCAAATCAAATGTCTTTTAAAGCCTGTCTACACTAGTTTGGTCAGGGGGAATTAGACCTCCCTGCAAGGCCAATGACAGGTGGTTATCTCATCAAATCAGCTCTCAATTAACATTAAAAAAAAAGGATCATGGGGGACCAACATGCACCAATTAGGCATTGTTTGCTATATAGAGGGTGCAAGTAGCTATAAGTAGTGCAGTGGGGCTTTAAAGTGTTCTAATCGCCAAAACATTTTGTTATTCTTGATGCAAGGGGTTCCATTTGGCTATACTATGATCTAACTATGAGCTTCAAATATTACTTCAACAAAGAGATATCACAGTTTTAATACGTTCTCAATGAACAGTAAAAACATCTTCATGAGTAGACTTGTTAATGCGCAAGTATGCACTCACAAAGAATAGGGCGTGCACAGAACCCAAGTCACTTGGGTTACGAGCAAACTTTATAAACAGGATTTAATATCCTTTATTTTCTTCATAATCCCTAAACGTTTACCTATAGAATGCCTGGTAGAGTTTTATGAGATTGATTTTATGCATTCTCGCTATACATCGTTTATTTTTTCAGGTAATGGGTACACTCTAACCTTCTTTAACCCTTTCTGTGCTAGTACACTGTAGGTATTCCAACAAAATTATACTTTCCTATCAACAATATTTGGGTTTACTTCTTTACAACAATGTTTATATAGATCTGGCTCTGAATACGTTCCCCATTACTACTTTCAAGAAGTATTACAGGTATCTTGGATTCATAAATGTATGTCACATAGAAGTCAGCTCTCATGGGGAATTTAACACTGTTCGGGTGTTTACCCAATAACAGGTGTTGTCAATCACCAGGGTTAGCCTCGAGTTTTATGACCATTATACCTTAAGTAATGCTTCGCTTTTCCTTCACCCGAAGCTCTCCGGGCGATTAGGGGGTAATTCTTGACGGGCCAACAGGTTTGCTGTGTGCAGATTTGTACTCCCATTAATGGTATTTCCACCAAGTCTGGTGTCAGCGAATTATGGCCTGCTGCACATGGAAACTGCCGATCCAGTCCCTTTAAATAATACAGTTCAAAATTTACAGTACAATTCTGGTGCCAGTGTTGCTCTGTGGAATTTGCTGTTCATTGCCAGGAAAGGGTTACAGATCCTTTGCAGCATAGCACTGTAGAATGTATCTTTGCTTGCATTCATCTATCCAGTTGAATTTCCTTTGCTAGAAGACTGACTTCATATTTCAGCTCTGCAAACCATCTACTGTCGCTTGGAGCGGCTAAATTGACCTGGTTCATGAAGAAAGCAACAAATAGAAGAGATACTGTAAATTCATATTGGGTAAGAATATAGGATATAATGTCTAATATCATGAACTCAAAAGACCATAAATGTTAAATCTCCCTGATCACTCCACTTTTTATGCCTCCGCCACCGAAGGTGGTGCCGGAGGCATCATGTTTTTGGGTTGTCCGTCCGTACGTCCGTAATACCGTCCGTACGTCCGTCCGTCCCGTTTGACCGTTATCACAATATCTCAAGAACCATTTAAGATTTAAACTTAAGACTCGGGAATAGTATTTATCACCATAGGAAGACGATCTGATTAGATTTTGGAGTACGTAGGTCAAAGGTCACAGGTCACAGAGGTCAACTTATGAAATTCCTTGTATTGAGTTTGTTAGCGCGATATCTCAAGAACCATTTGAGATTTAAACTTCAAACTTAAGGATAGTATGTATCACCATAGGAAGACGATCTGATTAGATTTTGGAGCACGTATGTCAAAGGTCAAGGGTCACAGAGGTCAACTTATGAAATTCCATACATTGAGATTGTTATCATGATATCTCAAGAACCACTGGAGATTTAAACTTCAAACTTAGTGATAGTGTGTATCACTATAGGAAAACAATCTGATTACATTTTGGAGCACGTAGGTCAAAGGTCAAGGGTCATAGAGGTCAACTTATGAAATTCCATACATTGAGATTGTTATCATGATATCTCAAGAACCACTGGAGATGTAAAAACTTCAAACTTAAGGATAGTATGTATCACCATAGGAAGACGATCTGATTAGATTTTGGAGCACGTAGGTCAAAGGTCAAGGGTCACAGAGGTCAACTTATGAAATTCCATACATTGAGATTGTTATCATAATATCTCAAGAACCACTGGAGAATTTTCACTTCAAACTTAATGATAGTATGTATCACCATATCATAATATCTCAAGAACCACTGGAGATTTAAACTTCAAACTTAATGATAGTGTGTATCACCATAGGAAGACAATCTGATTAGATTTTGGAGTACGTAGGTCAAAGGTCAAGGGTCACAGAGGTCAACTTATGAAATTCCATACATTGAGATTGTTATCATGATATCGCAAGAACCACTGGAGATTTAAACTCCAAACTTGTTTAAATTGCTCTATGGCGGAGGCATCATTTTCGACTGCGCGCAGTCAAAATTCCATCTAGTTTCTGTATGTACCATTTTCTTATGGCTCACAAATTGTGTTGGATCTGCACATATTTTTTTCTAAGAGCACAACACAAAGACATTTCTGCACTGTGACTATATCATTACCTCAATGAACTGCACTAATGAGAGAAATTGAATGAAATTGAATTGAATTAAAATACAAGGTATCGTAATGCTGGCCAACAAACCTTACTTTTCCTGATCACCAAGCTATGGAGGTTTTTAAATCTGTCTTTCTATATGGTATGTGTCACTTACTATACATATACCTGCCAAGCCAACCTTTCACAGCAATATTCATAATTAGGAATATCTCAAGTCAAAATTAGGAATACAGTCTATTTAGTTTACTTTCACACAGAATATTCCAGCAAAAAGAGAGGAATCTATGGTTCAAAACAGTAGCTTGAAGGCCCCAAAATAGGAATCATTCCTCCAAAATGTGAATGTTGGCAGCTAGTTCTTTACATTCTATGCAATGCTTTAACAAACAAATTTTGGCACATAATTTTTTTTTATCATAATTTGAAAGCAAAATTATCTTCCACAAGGCTTTGCTTCATGTGACTTCATAATTACCTCAATGAACTGCACTAACGAGAGAAGTTGAATTCAATTGGATAGAATTAAAATACAAGGTATTATACTGCAGATCATTCGGCTATGGAGCATTTGAAATAGGCTTTCTATTTTAGTCACTTACTGTACGTAACTCTTTACATACTACGCAATGCTTTTTATTTACATTCTGCACAACTTTTTTTTCAATCGTAATATGAAGGCAAAATGTGACTTCATAATTGAATGAGGTGCGATGGCTCATTGGTAGAGCAGGGGTATTGTGACTGGAAGGTCGTGCGTTTGAAACCAATTCAATGCGCTAGTGCCCTTCGGTAAGGCATTAACTCTCATTAATAAGTCCCTCAGAGAGGACTTAAGCTGTCGGTCCCCTGGTTGCTTACTTACCAGCATACACATGCTTACTTAGCAGTCAGGTAAAACAAACGAACAAATAAACAAACTATTTACCTCAATGAGCTGCACCAATGCAAGGAGTTTGCTACTGTGTGTCTGCATCCTCCTCTTCACACCCCCAGTCTGTAGGAGACGAACTATGACCTTGGCAACTTGCCTGTCGTCTGAGTGGTCTTTAAAAGGAGTGATAACAAAAGTGACAGAAACTTTTAATATGCAATAGATATGATGCTCATGCAGTAAGGCTGTGCACAACAGTGTAATGAGGTACCCGCATGCAATTTTACTTTGAGTTGCAGTGGAAGGCGCCGATTTAATAATAATAATAACAGTGAACAATGCTTTTTTAAAAACCAAAGATGGCAGAATAATCCATTTTCCTCCAAGTCCAAGCAGAAATCCAGATATTTGGTCCCAGTTTCTGAGTGGTGAGTTTGACAGTGCTTGAGTTGGGAAACATTTTTACCGACGGCACCATGCCAGCGGCCGCCGCTCACCCAGGCACGGGTAAGCGTCGGCCTGGACATTTTTTTTTTTTTTTAATTTAATTTTTTTAAAAATTTTTTAATAATTTTTTTAATTTTATTTTTTTTAAAAATTTTTTTAATTTTTTTTTTGCGGCCGAATATTCGGGTACGAGAAATCGTACCCGAGTAGTTGTCAACCGTGCGGGTACTCGAGCATTCGACTACCCTTCACAGCCTTATCATGCAGACAATGTGATTCATATTTTTAACAGAATACGTCCTTTGATCACAGAACATGTTTATCTGATTGGCAAAAAGTAGAGGTGAAATAATATAGTAATAATGACTGCTATGAGAGACATAGTTGTTTTTATACGGTCAAGGGGAGGTTACATCGTGCTATCGCCCCGAGGCGTGCCGAGGGGTGACGGCACGATGTAACCTCCCCGAGAGCCTATAAAAACTATGCCTCGAATATTAAAGTAGTCGTTATAACTTTTATATACCAAAAAGGGTCATAGAATACATGTGCGACTTACCAATCATGTTAATCAAGTTTGTTTACGCTATCGAGACCTAGTCTTAATAGGGTGTCTGATCGAGCACCACTCAAGTTTGTGTGCTAAAATCATTCCCATTAATTAACACGTAAACCAAAGGGGATCGCAGTACTCGTACCCGTAGGCGGGGCATGGCTAAAATCATGACTCCAATTTCGACCAATCAGACGGCTGGATTTTTTAAAGTGAGGTATATACAACAAAATAGAGGATCCCGATTGAATTATAGCATTAACTTCATGTGGACAATATTAAAACACGATGAAAGCTCTACCATACCTTTGCATGCAGCGAGCGCACAGTCTATTAGTGAGCCGACTGACCCATCTCCAAAGTTTGTCACACAATCTACGGCCTGTTTCCACAGCTCCACCGCATACTCCTCCTCCCTGCCTGCCAAATCGGCAACATTTCTGACTGCAGCATCGTACAAGAGTAAGAATGCAAGGCTTCCAATCATTCCGTCTATACTGTCCAACGTTTCTCTCGATGGTGACATGCTTTGGAGTACTGATGATGATGATGAGGATGATTGTGTATGATATCTCTGAAGCATGGTTGTGTGTTCTAAGATGCTTAAGACGGTACAGATGGGAAGACAATGGAAGGATTTCTGTGAAGAAAGATGGAGAGAAAACAAAAAATATTAATATTATGTAATATACATTATAAGATTAAGCTGTTAAGTAACGATTTAAATTTTAATAAAAATGAAGTAGAGTAAACTATTAGCCATTTTTTAATTGTGAAGACACTGTCTGGAAGCGACCGGTTTACTAACATATTCAAATTTTATGCATACTTTTTAAACAAACCAAGGTTGTTCTTGACAACCTTAAAAGCTTGCCCGATGCTTGCCCAACATAGCAACAATTAATGTATGCAGAATGGATTTTAAGTATTGAAGTTCATTCATTAACAACAGGTAAATTTAATAACTCGTCACTAGGTACCCGGGAAAGAAACATCAATAAATTTGAATATGTTAGTAAATCGGTCTATTGGGAAAGGATGATTACATGTATATGTAGTACCTAAGAAGTGATGTATACTGTGAGGTTCTGGAATGATCAATTTGAAATGAAATCAATTTTATCTTGCTGAAATTTACACCTCACACACTATGATTTCTTCCAAACTGGCATAAGAACGAGAATGCTCACAAGTTCATTGTCATCTTTTTTTAAAAGCACGAACCTCTTTAGCCATAAATTTAAAATGGGCTTAATCTCAAGTTATCTGCTGTAAATGAACAGTCACTTCATATTTAACATTGCATTATTATGTCATCTTTGTTTGGAACCCAACCTCTTTAAATGTATATTTAAAATGGGCTAAATCAAGTTATCTGCTTTGAAATAAAAGGTCACTTCATATTAAACACCACATCATTATTATGTCATCTTTTTTTAACACCCAACCTCTTTGAATATACATCTAAAATGGGCTAAATCTCAAGGTATCTGATGTAAAATCAACAGTCACTTCATACATCCTATCCAGAACATTAAATCTGTTTCCCCCTCTCCATACTACATACCAAGGTATCTTGAATGTGAGCAAGAACTCCCGCTATGGCCATTTCTGGATCAGGGTGCCTCCTGTAAACTTGCATTGCAATCTAGACAACAGAAAGAAAAGGAAATCAAATAAGTGGATGTGTGGATAACAATGAAAATTTAGGATTTCCTTTACAAACATATGGATGGATTGAATATGCTTCCTTTACCCTGAAAAGGTGGAGTCATTTTTGTTGTTTCAAAACCACAGAGGGCCAGACTCAACCTCAGGGATTGTGGCTGAGTGTGACTTAGCATTCTAAAAACTTGGTGAACCTTATTATAAAAATCCCATGGCGTTTGATATCTGCATGTATATCTCAAAGGTTTTTTTTTTTTATTTAAAAGAAGTGAATTACTCTAACACAAAACATTCTCAGATTATTTACAAGGCACATACAGATTAAAACAATTTTCAGGATATATGCAGACAGATAATTTCAATTATTTTATAGAAACATTAGTCCTGTCAATATAGGGTTTGACCCTAAAAAATGTCAACAAAAGGTTTTTCAATGGTTTCTGGTAGTGTTTGACATCCAGAACATATTACAAATCTAAGAAATTCGGACTTCTGGAAAGTGTTTATTTTTAAAATGGCGTCCAAGATGGCCGCCAATATATTGGAAAAGCCATTAGGCATGATATATCCATCTAAAAGATGTATTTTGGTGTCTATACCTAGGTTTTGGGAGTCGAAGAATCCATTCATACCACTTACATGGGTTATGGCCACCAGGGAACGTGAAAATCCAAGATGGCATCCAAACTGGCAGCCAGTCTCCTAAAATGACTGGAAGTATTGTTGCACTTTTTGGGGGTTGGGTGATATTTCGCCATTAATTGACCCAGCTACAAAAAAGATGTACATGTATGAATATCCTTTACCTTGTTGACAGCATTAGCTCTATGCAGGAGCCCCACCTCCCTGTTGCCATGGACGATGTGATAGAAGGGATGAAGAGCTTTACTTAGAGCGTGGTTTGATGGCTCAGCTGATGACTCCATCTTGTTCAGAAGAGATGATAAGTCTTCAGGTGATGTGCCTAAAAACAAAGACATCACAGGGCTAGTTTACATTCAAGGCAATTTTCATATTGAAAACAGCAAATATTATTATCTCGACTTCTGAAAATTTACAACTTTCTTTCAAAATTGTCATCAAATAGATTTTGTTTTAAATAAGAAACTGTCTACCGCTAGTTGTTATTCTGAATGGTTGATCATGTTAAATATGGAAACTCCATTAACTATGGAGTGACATTGAAAATAAAAACACAAAATATATGGGTGGAAATGAAAATAATAGCTGTATTTCGTGTCCTGTGTTCATTTCTTTTCTTCAATGTAAACTAGACACATGTGTAGGCTTAGTCTACATCATGTTAAAATAAAGATGGAAAAAACTGTGTTACAACTTTACACCAAGCATGCAAATAATTTATATGTTAGCAAAAAACTTGTTGAAAATGATTCACAGCAGTTTTCAACTAAGGGGGGGGGGGGGGGGGGGGGAGGTTAACAAAAGCTGTGCAGGTGCTTTATTTGGCAAAGAAAGTGATGAATGGTTTCAACAAAGAAGTAACAAATAAAATCGACATCAACTCGGGCATCATGTTTTAATTTCAGTAGAACACAGACCCACAGATTTCAGAGACTTCTTCTTTTTACATAGGATTATACACACAACATTGCAAGAGAGTGTACATATAAAAGGAATATGTTTCTTTTCAGCATAATAATCTTACCCATAGAAACGGTGAAAACAAAGTCAATGAAGTCTGAATGCGACAAAGGAGGTTTCCTGGATGTACCAAACACATTGTCAAAGCACCTGAAAAAGAAACAACAAAGAGAATCGTAAGGTCCTTTTTTGAAAGATAATGCTCGACTGACTTTCATGAGTGCCAACAGTTTTGTAATATTCACTATCTTTGATATCAATCCTTCAACAGATTTATTGACTCTATCTTGTAAGTTGAAGTCCTATACGTTATGTAAAACATAAAACATAAAGAGGTCAAAGATAGAGAGGTGATGCAGTCTAAAAGCAGGTGACAGTCTACAGCTAGCATCCCTCAATCTGAACCAGATAAAGTCAAACCTGCCAACTCTCTTTAAAGGCTACCTGTCTATAGTAGCCATCTATTTTGTCTCCCTCAAGAAAGTAAAGTGCATTGTAGAACCTGTCTAAAAAGGCCACCTGTCTATAGTGATCATGTATTTTATATCCCATGAGAAAGAGATGTGTTGTAGAACCTCTCTATAAGGATCCCCTGTCAATAGTGGCCAACTTGCCATGTATTTTGTTTCCCTCAAGATGGAAATGTGAGTAGTAAAACCTGTCTAGAAAGGACACTTGTATACAGTGGCCACATTCTCTCTTTCCCTTTGGTGGTACAGTCAAACCTGCTTTAGTGACCACCTGTCTATAAAGATCACATTTTTTTTCCCTCCCTTAAATATGGTTTCTCATTGGAAAATATACAAAAGAAACCTGTACATACAGACCACCTGCCTATAAAGAATAATACTCTCGTTTCCCTTGAGCGGTCTTTATATACAGGTTCACTGTACAACCCTGGAATACATACCTGTTTGCAAGGAGATACATGGGAAAGTGGACATCTGAGTTTGTCTTGCAGCAGTACCTCGTAAGCTGCTTCATGAGGGACGAATCAAGGGATGGAAGATGATAGAGGCATTCTAACAGTCGACGTTGAGTTGACTGGTCTAAACACTCCATCACAGCATTATCAGGAGCTATGAAAATACAGAGATAAATGGGTTATTTTTTTTTATATCAGAACATTTTTTGTTTCCTCAAAGAATAAGTGATATAAATGTCATGTGTTCTGGAGAACTAATCACCTCGAATTGCTATAATCTAAATGTTCAGACTCACATATCGTGACAGAACACTATGAATTGATATTTATATATGCTTGTTTATAAAATTAATACAAAACTAAAACAGACTTCTGAGTAGATTTCAAATTTTATACTGTAGGGGTTTCATGGGAAGAAGAGGGATATGCCATTTCACCTTGGCTATAGCTACAACGTGGCTGGGACAGAAAACCCAGATACATTATGCCTCTGGCACCACCTTCTGTGGCAGAGCCCTAAGAAATAATAAAATCAGATTCTGTAAAGCACAACATCAATTAAATAATGATTTGATTTTTAAAAAGAATCCCTGACTTACAGTATGAATTATTTTCTATTTGGATGATATAAATAATCAAATATGCTTGACTTACAAAGCCATTGTGGCAAGTGTTTTTCCATGCACTGTATAGCTTGTATGTGACCTCTTGATGCTGCTACTAGCAGGGTATGAAGTGCTTCTTCTGAGATACCTAGTGGGCTAGACCTGGCTTCATCTATCAGCTCACCTAGGCTATCAAAGAATGCTGGCAGCTTCTCAGAACTGTGTGGTAGGTAGTACACAACAGATTTAGGCAGGATTTGGGTGGAATCAATGAAGTAATCAATGTGTTGCAGATGTGTGTTAAAATCTATTGATTTAAAATCATGATATTTCAATGTACAATGTATGGAAGAGTTGTAAAGTAACCCAATTATATAATGGTCAAATGATCAATTTGCCCATTGGAGGTTCACATGTATATTTAGCGACCTAAATAAAACATGAAGTGCCCCCGCGTCATCAGACGGTGATGCATTATGGGACATGTCTGTCAACACATCAGGACATTGTGAGCAGCAGATGGCAGTATATGTAAATCTCAAGTAGTATCAGTAGAAAACCCCTCCTTCAAACTAACTCTAAACCTGATAATCAATGAATCTTGGCCATTTGCGATGTTTTATTTTTTTGTGAGGTTTATTTTTGGTCTGGTGTTGGTTATGTCTGCATCACTTGGATAATTAAATAAGACAACAGATGGTTGCAATTATGTTTTCTTTGGATTGATGATGAATATCAAAGCAATACTTACATGTTGTCATCATCTGGTCTTGCTCTATCAAGACAGATTGATCTCAGAGTTTTAAGAGCTCTTAGCTTCTGCTGTGAGAGAGGATGTGCTCTCGCGTAGTACACAAACAGTGCATCTTCAAGGCTAACACTCGCTGAAAAGGTAACAATCAAACAAAACAATTTTACAATTGTGACAATGATGATATGAAACAGAGAATTCACGTAACGGTCAATTTAAAAGCAAAAGTCATATATGTCATGTGAATGTAGTCTTAAGTACTAAGTTTGCTCAAATTATTACTTCAGGATCGAACAAAGGAAAAACTGATTTTCCTTCATTTTGAGTGCTATGTGCACCAACTTTGTAGTGATTCAACTATATTGTTGATTGTGTTTGACATTCAGTCAAATTTGACTACTTATGGCTAATCTGGTTGTTTGAGAAAAATCATTCTAAGGTAGTGGAGTTGTTTAGAATTCCTAGCTTGCACCTGTGCTTTCCCTGGTCCACCGCTGGGGATGTATCACCCCGGTCAACCCTCAAATAGACCGGATTACTAACATATTCAAATGTATGGATGTCTCTTTCCTGGGGACCTAGTGACGATTTAATCCATTAACCTGTTATTAATAAATGAACTATTATACCCAGAATCCAGTCTGCATGTGTTATTTGGTGCGATGTCAGGCAAGCTTTCAGGACGTGAAGAAATATTTGGTTTAAAAAGTATGCATACAATTTGAATATGTTAATAAACCGGTCTAATAATATTCCAAGTTTTTATAGCGCTCAATACATCGATCCAACGATGTGCCTAAGCGCTTTACAGATATATTATTACCCCGGTCATCTGATTCAGGCTTACCCGCACACAATGTGTGCACATTTTCCACTCCCTGGGGAGCATTTCAGCCAGTCGCCATTTTACAAGCGCACACTTGCTCGTCCATCCACATGAACTTTTGCATACTACCGGTACCCATTTAACACCTGGGTAGAGAGTAGCAAGTGCAGGTTAATATCTTGCCAAAGGATATTAGTGCCGTGTCGAGATTCGAACCCTCGACCTTCGCATCTCCAGTCACGCGCCTTAAACCACTCTACCACGACACTCCCATGCCAGATATCTCAGTTTCATAGTCACGATTGCCCGACTTACTCTCATCATCACCAGGTTTGTTCATCATCTTCTGCACCACATCCATCAAGACTTCTTGCTCCTCCTGACCCAGAGGATACTCCCCATCATCCTCCTCCCTCAAGACATCCTCTATGAACTCCCTCACCATCCCCATCCAAGGGCGTGGCTTGGTACCCTCGACAACCAAGATACTCAATACCAGGTTACAGGCAGACAGGTTGATGGGCGTCGCTGATCCATGGGATGATCCAGCGGGGGGCTTGCTACTGCCCCTCCTGGACGTGGTGGTGGTGGTATGGGCGTGGTGGTGGAGTGAGTACGGGAACCCTTGGTGGAACTGCTGACTGATTTTGCGTTGGCAGGTCTTCTTCATCTCGTCAAGAGCCTGTCGTTAGAACAATTCAATAAATTAAGGGGGAACAGAAATAAACAATCTTTTTACTCAGTATAGTACTGGTGTCCTAGATAGCAGCTTCAAATATTACTTCTATTAAACCATATTAAAGGTTCAAATACGAACACAGCACTTTCAATAAAGGGTATTAATGTGACTTGTGAGGAGTACATGTATGTTCATGCATAAATGTATATGTTATGGGTTTCATACTGACAATCGGCATGTTTTTTTTCACAATAATATAACATCAGCTTCACATGTTACTTGTTGTAAGATGTCCAAATAGCAAAAATACAATGAACATTGCCATAAGAGGCTTGTTACACATTACCTCTGTTTGGAGCCATATGGGCAGAGTGACTCAATGTAAAATAAAATGAGTTAACGCCCTTCTGACTCCAAACAGATGATAAAATATATATGGTAGAAGAGAGCAAAAATTAGAACAAGCAACTTACACTATCATTGCCTTTCTCATCACACGCTCTCTGTAGGAGACTCCAGATAGTCTGTAGGATGGCTACTACGCAACCTAGCGTCTCTTCCTCCTTCTGACCTAGGGTGACCCCGCTCTCACCTTGACCTTGACCCTTGGCAGGCAGGTTGACCTCTCCCCAGCACTGGAGGAGCAGGGGGATGAGGGTACGAGCCATGCCCAGGATGGCCTCAGGATCAGATAAGAAGTCGATACCAAGGTTGGAGACGGACTGATCAGTTCTGTGATGCAGATGGGGGAAAACAGAATACCTGATAGTTTAAATGTCTGTTGTCCCATAAAGAACAAATACCTCTCTCTTTTTTTCATGAAGAGGAAGAGGAAGAGGAGAAGGAGTTAAAGATGCAGCAAGAAGGTTCACCAGCAATGTGATAACAAAGACACCTTTTCTTTACCTTGGCCCAAATATCCTTTTTTCTCCTACAAAATGCACTTCAAATAGTTTCTTTACTTTCATTATATATACATGTATATTAATACAGATACCCCCTTTTATTTAATCAGTATTGGCATGCACAAATCTCTCAATTCACTTTTCCAGTATGTTTTAACAGTTATCATAATTGTCATTGCCATCACATTTGCCCCCTCCCCCTCTGTCTCTGTCTCTCTCTCTTTCTCTCTCTAGCTCCTTATTTATCTGAAAATCTGGACTTCAATATGCTGTCACAATGCAATCACATTATACATAGACAGTAAAATCTTTTACAAACCTCAAAATAAAAGGTTTTGGTCTGCCACTGAATGCTCCATTTGCTTTCAAGATAGGTGCGTATGTTGGTTTAGCTCCGGTAGAATCCACCTTGATAGTTTGGCTCATCTCACCTCTCTCGGGTAAATGCTCCTTCTCTTTGGACTTCCTCATGACATCCAGAAACTTCTGAAGCATCTGGAGAACCTACAAGATTCATTTACATGATATTTATAAAATAGTTGATTTCAATATAAATTTGAGTTCTGGCTAAGCAATCACATTGTAAAAGAAATTATCTGGAAGCAATAGGCCAGTTTCATAATGTAATCAAATTTAAAGCATAGATCTTTGTTAAGTGCCTCGTTACAACTTATATAATTCACCTGCTATGAATAATTGTATTTCAATAGTCAGAATGCCAATTGCATACATTATGTGATGTTAAATGTCAAGTGGGACAAGCCATAACGTTTGACCTACCTGGCAACAGTTAATGTATGTAATATGTGCATTAAATTTGATTACATTACAAAAATTGTCAATTTGAATACAAAGTTGAGTTCTGATTCAGGAATCACATTGTAAAAGAAATTAGCTGGAAGCAACTGGGAAAGGCTGACTTATAATAGAAGCCATGGTGTATAATGCAAGGATTTAGAATCATCAAAATAACAACAAATTGAGTCAATTTTGCTGAGAGTCAAATGTACTGTACAACTAAAGACCGTGCCTCACAGGACACCATCAGAAATTGGCAATTATGACAAGATGTAGCAAAGCAAGCCCCTTAATCAATTTGTTATACTGTTGAAAGGAAGGATTTGATTTAGTCGGATGATTTGTTTTCTCTACAAGAAACTTCATCTAGTACCTAGGAGAAACATTGCATTCATGAGTTAGTTTCTGATCCATTTTCATTTGGAAATAGAAGGTTTCAGTATTGCATGTAGGGAAGTGCGGTGATTCAGTGGTAGAGCAGTGGTATCGTAACCGGTAGGTCCTGGGCTCAAAACCAAGTCGATGAGCTAGTGCCCTTTGGTAAGGAATTAACCCTCATTAGTTACCAAGTCCTTCGGAGGGAAGATAAAGCTGCCGTTTTCCCTGGTTGCTTACTTAAACGCAAACCAAACGAAACCCATTACAGATTATGTAGTACAAGCTCACCCAGCATACATCTTATCAATGACGTCACACTATCAAAAATGTAAATTTAAAAAAAAAAAGTGTATCAAACCTTTAGTCTCCATTTCTGTCCAGCAAGTTTGCCGCTAGGATTGACCTTGAGGCTACTTGAGCTACCAAGTTTATTCCTCTGCTGAGCAATGAGATTGATGAAATTAGTCAGGAGCTCCTTACAATGAGGAGCAATCAAACCTGAAAAGAAAGAAGAAATTGCTTGAGTCATCTGGTATTCATTTCACAAGAGAATGAGGAGAAGAAGAAGGCATAGGAGGAAAAAAAGGAGGAGGAAGAGAAGAAGGAGGAAGAGGAGGAAGAGGAGGAGGAGAAGGAGTAGAAGGAGGAGAAGAAGGAGTAAAAGGATGAGAATGAGGAGAAGGAGAAGGAGAAGATGGAGAAGGAGAAGAAGGAGAAGAAGGCGTAGGAGAACAAGAAGGAGAAGGAGGAGGAGAAGGAGGAGGAGGAGGAGAAGAAGGAGAAGGAGGAGGAGAAGGAGAAGGAGGAGGAGGAGAAGAAGAAGGCGTAGGAGAACAAGAAGGAGAAGGAGAAGGAGAAGGAGGAGAATGAGGAGGAGGAGGAGAAGAAGAAGGAGAAGGAGAACGAGAAGGAGAAGGAGGAGAATGAGGAGGAAAAGAAGGAGTAGGAGAAGAATGAGAATGAGGAGAAGAAGGAGAAGAAGAAGAAAAAGGAGGAGGAGGAGGAGGAGGAAATACTTTAAGTTAAATATACATTACATATTGGTGTCAAAATCATGGATTCTGTCAATCTACAATTTTCTTGGTGTTGTATAGTTGCAGTAATAGTCAGTTTTGATCTAAAACTTAAAACAAAATGTACATCCACTCATTTTTTATATAACATCCATTGACTGCTCTTACAAGTATTTACCTGGATAATGTTGCAGAATGGTTTCCATGACAACCAAAGAATCAAGCTGGACATCTTCCTGTATGTGTGTCATGGCGCAGCACAGATGCATGCAGACGGTAGGAAAGAACGGGGCCATCTGATGAGCTGCCAGCGTATCCATGACGACCCGTAGGAGGGCGGTACCTGCCTGACGAACCACCCCCTCCTTGTCAGTCATGGCGGTTGAGATGGAGGGGATGAGGGTAGGGAGGTGCTCCGGGATAAGGGAGGGGTTGGTGGTGAGGAGAGTCTTGGTACCTTGTATAGCACTGCTACGGATGGAGGCGTTGTAATGGTTGGCTTGACACAGAAGCTCCTAGCAGGATGAGAAGAAAAAGTAAAAGGAGAAAAATTTGAGGGTCCAGTAGTGTACTCTTTTTGAGATTTTCTAACTTATTTTTATTTTTACATGTTTTAAAGCCCCACTGTACCAGTTGTAGCTACTTGCTCCCTCTATAGAATCAATGCCTAATCAGTGACCATTGGTCCCCCATGATCCTCTTTTTCTTATGTTAATTGAGAGCTAAGTTGATGAGATAGCCACCTGTCAGTGACCACATCGGGTAGTCTAATCCCTCCTAGCCAAACTAGTACAATTTAGTACAGTTTAATTCATATTAACAAATGAAACGAAGAGGGTTTGTATCATTCTTGAAAAGATTATGATAATTTTCAAATTTTTCTTCCTATTCACACTGCTTTAAAATTATCAAACTTTTCAAACAAGTAAAAGGCAGTTGGGTCATCAACCAAAACTCAGTTTACTTCAAAATATGATTTACGTCCTCTTCTCATTCATTGATTTTCTGAAATAATGAGTATAGGAAGAATGGGAACCTTAAGACCCACTGTACTACTTGTAAAGCTACTTACTCCCTCTATATAGAAACTTTCCCAATCGGTGCAGGTTGGTCCCCATGATCCTCTTTTTCTTATGTTAATTGAGAGCTGAGTTGATGAGATAGCCACCTGTCAGTGACCTCGCTGTGTGGTCTAATCCCTTTTGGCCAAACTAGTACAGACGGCCTTTAAGATAGGTTTGAAACTGATTTAAAACAAAATCTTACTTGAATGTTCTGTTTTCTCGAAGTGACAGGTTCCCCTCCATCCTTATCTGAAGTCTTAAGCTGCTCTCTGATGTGAATAGCACGAGACTTGAATGATGTATCCGTAAAATTATCTGCTTTGGCCAACTGCTTGCCAACTTTGAGTTTGACCTTCTGGAAATCCTTCTTCTTTTCCTTGTTCTTCCTCGAACCTTTCACCATGATTGACTGTATGATTAAAACAATTTTAAAAAGGGGATTAAAACATTTTTTAAAAAGGAAAAGAAATCATATTGCCATCTCAGCATAATCAATTGTACATCAATTTGTCAAATGGCAATCTATGTAGATCTATGCATAAATTCATAACTGTTAATAAGATACATTTCCTTCTTTTGCCTTATGAACAAGGACAATGTATAAATAGAAAAAGCAAAATCACTGCTGAGAATACTCAAGAAAGCAGAAGAAAAAAAAGGTTGAGGAGGAGAACGAGGAAAAGGAGGAAGAAGACAAGGAGGTGGGGAAGGGGAAGGAGAGGAGGAGGAGGATAAGTTAAGGAGGGGGATGAGGAGGGGTTGAGAAAGGGGGAGAAGGACATGAAGGAGAGGGAGAGGGAGGGGGAGAAGGAGGAGGTGGAGGAGGGGAGGAGGAAGAGGAGGAAGAAGAAGACAAGGAGATGGAGAAGGGGAAGGAGAGGAGGAGAAGGGGAAGAGCAGAACTTATAAAAGTAAGCTAAGAATAACATGAAAATAAGATAGAGGGAGAAAAAAGGTTATTAGAAATTGATATAAAATTTGATTATTAGGGTAGCACGCCCGGTATTCGGTCAATTCCCAGTATTCGGTCAGACAACCGTTACAACAGTTGTAACAATTTTAAAAATAATTTATGAGCCACGAAATTTGCACAAATCAGGGAGCTGAACAACTTTTCTTAACTCTCAAAATTAAATCAGTATAGGGCCCCGGAAAGATCTCCAACTTAACTCAAAATTGGTCAGTGTCGCACAACTTTCTGCACTTCTGGGTTCTGTTAGCACATGCGCTAACATGCATAGCCATATGTAGAAGTCTATTGCGAAACAACTACGTGTGCTGTTGCAATGAATTTAGTATGTGTGTGAACTGTGAAGAGGAGCTCTTCCGTGTACGCTCTATCGCAGCGCATTTGCAAATGATGCACTTGCCGATGTGCAAGAGGTATTTATACGATACCCTTGCCATGCGGTAGCGCTCGGTCAACGCATTGACATTCAGTGCTTTGTCACGCAATTGTGTGAAAGTAGTGCGCAAATACACTTCGCTCCTTGGCAACGGAGATACCACGCTCAAATCGCGCGACCAAATTCTGGGCAGAAAAATGCTCCCTCTTCTTTTGGAAATATTTTGCTTATCATCACTCTATATTTTAAGTGACTATACAATCCTGTTAGAGGAATAATTTTCTTTTCTTTTAATTGGTAGATTGCCAAATAAAAAGAGGCAAGAATTCAAAATATTACTATTAGCGATTTCCCCTTTAATAGTGACGGAATACCGGGCACTCTACCCTAGATTTAACTGATGTGAGATGTTCAACATTTAAACATTAACCATAGACATAGTAATAGTTATTGTACTGATGTATATAGATCTAGTAGTCTACTACTACTACTACTAGCATGACTAGGAGATGTAGATTTCTAGATAGTAATGTTCACAAGACCCAACAACAAAATGCCAAATACCATATTACCAGACGAAATAACGAATGGATGGGACTACACGAAGTCAGCATGCATTTCATGTTAATTTAAATTTGTAGCTCTTTCGAGCAAGTAAAGAGTAAATTAGGAAGAATAGAACATTTCTTCCAAATAATTCTCTTCTGACGTTATGCTTTGAAATAACAACAATAACAATTGCCTAAATGATGTACGTACTACTTACATGATCAGCTCGGCAGCAGCGCAAATAAGTTGACGTGCAGCAGTAGCTGTGTACACGCGTGATATGGATTAGCACGCCACGTGCATGTGTTTCGTTGTTGTTTACAATCTTCGTCGGCCGTTACTTCTACGCTATTCATACAGCTACAGCCAGCTGTAACTGAGCTACTGTGCTAGCTACATGTACATGTAGTTCTGCTGCGGCATATTTCTTCTGAATGCGGCTGAAGTCAATCTGGACTCAACCAATATTTCCACGTGAGCATAATTTTACCCATATTTTCCTTGTGATTATGTTTAACATATTATTAACAGTGAGTAGACTAAGCATGGGAATTTGGTAAGTATTGGTAAGGACTTCTAACTCGCTTAGGAAAACGATTAAAACAGGGCTGTCAACTTTGGGGAACTTTTTCGAGGGAGAATCTAGTCTAGATCTAGAGTCTATGCAATTTTTGTCGGCTCAACGGGGGTGGGGGGCTGGCTGGGTGTTCAGTAAAAAAAAAAATCAAAGTGCTCAGTAGATCTACCCCCCCCCCCCATCCCTCCCTCCCTTGAGCAAAAAAAAATTGCAGACGATATGGTACGCTGGTTCATTTTCATTTTACACGTTTGGCGGGAGGTTTATTCGTAAACCGGGACTCGGAAGATTGTGGGAGAGTGGGAGGACTAGAATGGTGGCAGAAGTCTCCCGCACAACCACTTAAAATAATAATTTGAAGAATTCTTTGTTGGGAAAAAGGGTGGTTCCTTGCCCTAACCAGATTCATTCATCCATGTTGTATGCATCTTTGATTCAACATTGGGAAGAGAAACTACGCATGTGCGGTAGCGGCGCAGCAAATATGAATTATTCATGCTATAGTCAGAGCGCCGTTCGCTCAAAATTGCTGATGTTATAGATTTAGATGACGTCATGCGCAGCGAGAGTTAAAATACGGCTTGCAAGATTTTCAACATGGATGTCGATTTTGACCCGTAATTTCCTGAAAATGGACCATTAAACAGATTTATTCAGTCAAGTTGGTAAGTGGAACTGATGTATTAGGCCTATAGCCTAGGCCTAATTTTCAAATTTAAATAAATCAGATATGCATCAGGTAAAATATCAAAATTTAGTTTGGCCAAGTTTGGTGTAAAGAAACGTTACACCGAACACTTACGCCTATGGTCCTGTTCTGTCTCCAAAGAGAGGAGCTGACCCTACCCAGATCAGAGGCTAACGAACGAAAGAGACAGAAATTTTCGGTCTAAATATGAGCTCACCACTCTTTTTCTTTGAGTTATGCTCCCAGGTAAATTTCAAATAGTGCCATTCTATGGCCAGTAGCTGCGACCATGAAAATCTCAGACATGCAGTTCTGATATAAAAATAATTTCCAAATGGGAATAATAGCAAATCGGTCAAATGCATAGTCAAGAAACATTGTCTTAAAGCTATTTAAAGTAATATCAGTATTGAGATGGAGCTAACATACGACATAAAGAGTTATTTATTTACAATTTCATCACTTTACCTTTACCTGTTGCCTTACCCGAGATTCTGGAAGAATGCTGCATGTGTTCTCAGCAGTCGTGCTTCCACTTAACTTACTTTTATTGTCTTTAGACTCGATTTCAACTGCGACAACGATCATTGATTATATTGTAAAATCGCATGCTTCCAATAATATGGCAATATGTTCATTTGAACCAAATTCATGACCCCATACCAAAACGTAGCATTACCTTTAAACATGATTTACGGTACAAGGAACGACCTTTCATGAAGAACGAGCTAGGAGAAAATGTTTGTGCATTCAATTCAAAACAAGATCAAGCTGTCTTGATGATTTAATTTCCTCTCTTGCAAAGTTGGGCAAGTTGACTTAGGATGTGGGTATTGAGGTGTTTGATTTTGAAATTTGCCCATCTTTTTTATGAAGCACTCAGTGTTCAAGGAATTAGGTTAATACCCTGTCAGTGTCAGGCACATACATGTAGCTTAGTCTGCAGTCAAACTGTCAAAGACTATGATTTGACACTTTACCACCATCCCTAAAGCCTTGAGCAGAGCCTAGCTCTGTCGGTCTCTGGACTTGTCTGAATCAGCTGAAGTACAGAGCCTACATGTGCAGTATGCTGTCAGCCTAGTCTCACAGCGTAGACACTGTTGTGCCCAGCAACTGATGAGGGTTTGTTTTAGCAGACTACACAGAGCTCCTCATCCTGCACGAAATGTTATAAATGAGCTCTGGGTAAAACCTGCCAAGTCGTGCATGTATAATGCATTCTATTTGAGGAAAGATGTTAAATAACTGATCATGTATGCAAATCACTGCCAGCCAATGTATGGAGGTAGTCTAATAAAAATCACACCCTTTTCGTAATTCATGTAGTATGTTTGTCAAAATATAATATATTGTGTATTATAAAGTGAATGTATATTTCAATGTGCTTTTGTAACACTGCTCCTTTTTTTTTAAATCCCTTTATGCACTTGGATAAGATATTAATGCCTTTTGGGAATGATTTTTTTTGGTTGAAATTTGCAAACTATTTAAAGAGTCAGTGGAAAAAATGCATATACAATTATACATGTAGGTGCAGTGAATAATCTAGCCCGGGTAATTTCTAAAAAGAGCACTGAAAACTCGATGAGAGCTCAAAAAAAAGAGAAGAAAGAAAAAAAGAGAGAAAGAAAAAAAAGGAGAGATGAATAACTGCAAGAAATCTTGGTTTCCAATGGCAAATTCAAATTCACTGAAGTACATATACGTACTGCACAACTTTAAAAGTATGAGGAAAAACTGACAACATGGTGGCCTATACTTCTACAGAAGAAGAAGATATATGATGTACAGTACATGTACACGAAGGAGGTAAAATGTTCAGTTTGGAATCTGATATAAAGAAATGCAACTTCAAAGTTAGCAACTAGCCAGCTTGCAAAGAGTTCAGAATTTGGCATTTTTAGCTACAATATTATCACAAACATAATGTATACAACTGTGAAAGAAAATACAACTTTGTTTTGCCACACTTTTTGAGATAATTATACTGGATGTTATCCTAGCCAGTAAGATCATGTAATTCCCAGCTTTAAGCCATCATGGATGTACTATTTTCCGGGTTGTCTTCTCTTTTCCAATATTGAAAGCCCATTCATTATGGCTAATCTCTTTAATCCCTCCAACTCTTACCCACTGTAATCCCTTGTAATCCTTTTGTATAGTGACACCATATAATTGTGACCTCATTAAGGTCATGGTAAATAAAAGAAATATAGCCATCTTGGTATTCCAGTACACCTCATGGTTAGAATAATGTCACTGTTTGTTGCATAGTTGTGTTATATTTAGGCCTCAAGTTCAAGTTTTAAGTTAAGTTCAAGTTTTATTTCCACATGTGGTTCATAAAAACAAGTATACGTACATGTTCAGACATATAAAAAAATGCAAAGTAATACAAAATTAACAAACAATAATATTAAGAGAAACAAATAGTGAACAAAATCTAAAGTCCATAAACACAGAACAACTAAATACATGTAGATATAAAAAACATGTGGGGGGACCAACAAAGGCCAGGGGCCTGTTGAGGCTAATCCACAGAACAATAATATATATTTTAGATATTTTATATACAAAAATAAACAAAAAAGAAAAACAAACCAAACCCACAAACAATAGCGACGTACAGTACATGATAAAACAAAATTAAGTTGGCAAATTAAAACGGGCAAACAAAAAAATTATATTGTACCACTATAAATTTATGATTTTTTAAAATGTAAAATATACAGTTTGCCGATTTAGTCTCTTTAGTGTACATGTACAGTTAACAACTTCATTATTCATACCCTTACCAAGTTTTGTAATATTGTAGTAGGTGTCGAGAACAACTTATATTTTAATAACAGTGTGCATAAAACTTGAATATGTTAGTAAACTGGTCTATTATATATATAATTATATACACACACTAAACAAAAATCATCTCCTTTATCTCTTTCTGATTCCCACCCTTCCCTGTATCCCTCTTTCTATGCTAGTTGAATGCCACTACACCAGTATACATTATACCTGTACAATTTATTGATTAGGTAACGACCAGAGGGAGGGCAAGGCCGTCTAGACCTCAGTATTTCATTGTACTGTAAATGTGGAAATTTGTAAACATCAATAGCATTTATCCCTTTGCTTTGTGTGTGTCTGTTGTTCAGTTGTACTTGACGGTCAAGCACTATCTTTTGAAATATCCAGTGAAGAATTGTGTATCTTTCAAACTCTAAAGCAATGATAGCATAGACAATTTTCGTAATTTAATCAAATCAATGCACAAATTTCTGTTAATTTATATGTTTTTATTCACAAGTTACAAATAATTGTAATTCAACAGTCAGAATGCAAATTGTATATATTATGTATAGTTAGGTAGGACAAGCCATAATGTTTGTCCTACCTAGCAACAACTAATGTACGCAATCCAAATTCTGATTATTGGCATACAATTATTCGTAACGGGTAAATGAAATAATCTGTAAAAGGGCGTGGGTTCAAACCCCGGCCGTGTCATACCAATAGACGGTAAGAGACGGTAGTTGCTGCCACCTTGTTTGGTGTTCAACTATAAGGGATAGAGCAACGTCGATCTGGCGCTGCTCAGTGGCTGCCGGGCTCACGATCAATTGGGCAAAAAGAATTTTCATTTTCGGTTTAACTTAATAAAATTTGGAGTGGACTTCAAAAGATTATTATTATTATTATTATTAATATTATTATTATTATTATTATTATTATTATTATTCAGGAATGCATGATGCATACATTTGGTTAAATTACAAAAACGGCCTATTGTGTAACTCCTGATAAATACAATTTTGTCTATTGACACCATGAGGGTATTATTTCTGTATTATATGAGTTATCATTGATTATATGATGATGTAGAATTCAAATGCAACTCCAAATAGATTAATCCCAGACATTGAATTATTGTATCTTATCAGAAAGAGGCTCAAAGGTTAATTAGAAAATAATGTTGTATCTACATTGTATATGCATAGTTCAATTCTTGTACATTAGAGTACCGGTAGTAGAGAATACCATAGAGGCCTCCAATCTAGGTACAAGTACAAGTGAGAATTTTTAAAAAGAGGGCTGAAATTCTAAATTATGGTTGAAATATAACAGAAAGATAGCTCAAAATATTTGAGTTACATCTGTCCTGAGATAAAGCAAGTTCATAAACCGGGAGTACCGGGTACACATGTATTGTGTAAATCATGCACATATTTTTTACTTACACATTTTATATATATATATATATATGCACCTGCACAACAAGAATAAAAAGTTAAAATGTTAAAATGTGGAAGAACAGGATATGTGAAAGTCTCCACATATACACACACAACCAGTGCATTTATCTTCTTCACCTTGAAACAGCACTTACACTGGAAGAAGAAGGAGAAGAAACTAGAAATGCAATCGTGTCACAACGATGTGCGTGCAATGACGCCATGTTTCTACGTGTCAAACGAAAGAGCTTCTCTCGCCCTATCCAGAGCAATTTGTACGAAGTCTGTAGCTTCTGTGATACTGGAGATAGGTATAGCGAAAGAAAGGCCTCAACAGGGACCTTCATGATGGGATGGTAGTGACTCTACGCCTACAAAGCAGTCTGAAAAAATGACGTCATGACCGATACGTGTTATAATCGGGCATAAACTCGGCTGAATCCGTGTAGTGACCCTTGTTCAAATGCGATTTAATCACAATTTTCTGTGAGAACATATACCATACTTGGTATCATTCGAAACGGCACTTCATTGCGGTCAATTTGACACCATTGTTATCTGCGTGCAACGTACTGCACGCATCAAACGCGCTATTACGTAATGCATAGTAAATTCATCATTTTTGGCGATAACTTTGCGAAAAGGGCATTAAAATATACTAAACTTGACAGACAGTTGTCACGTATATGGATACATGTGTCTGCCAAGTTTCATTGAGGTAGGTATAAAGATCGCTATTTTTAGAGCAAGTTGAAGTTATTTCTCAATTTTCTTGGAAATGGCGAATTTGGAGGGCAATTTTCTCAAATTTGGTCAGTAATAGGGTATATTATTTTGTATATGGCTGGAAAGGGCATATGTTCAAGTATCTAAATGCAAAAAAGGGTACGGGTTTGCCAAGGCATAATAGAGATACGGCCACAGAAAGAAAGCCAATTCCCAGAACTTTAGAGGGCGCTATTTATGTTTTTCATAGCCATTGGAAAGTGAAATTTGGCATGGCTATGTGCAATTATAAGATAAGGATACTGTGAGATTTAAATACAAAACGGAATTTATATGAGAAAGTTATGGCAGTTTTAGATTTTTAGGGGTCAATTTTTCAAGAATTTGAGAGATTTTTGACGGAGTCGGTTTCAGATTTGAATTTTGAGTACAAAGATGGCATTTTGAATGTCAGGTTATACGTCGCAGATAAAAGAACATCTCTTAGACTATCTAGAGGAATTTGTTAAAAGTTTGTAGGATCTAGGATAGTGGAGATAGGAAGGAAGAAAGAAAGGCCTTAAAATGGACCAGAAACGGACAAAATGGCGTCTGGACGGTTATGCATGAGTGATTTTGAAAATCGAAGAATGTAGTGACCTTGATGAGATGTTAGAGACTATGCCTATGAAATTTGAAAGGAAAAGAACATGAGGAAAGCTTTTAACTAGGAATAACAAACACTACGTGCAAAACGAATGCGATTTCCTGACGATAAGGATAAGGAAAACCAGGAGAAGAATATTAATGGGGCAGAATGTGAATGAGAACAAGGCAATGACGAAGGTCGTCATTGCAAAAAGTTGCAAACAATTGATCCTGCTCAGTTTCTCTCCTATTCCCCTCTTTCCTATCTCCTTTCTTTTAGTCTGAAAACAAATTCAGCAGTTGATCAAATATGTGTGACGATAGAGTGAGTGACAAGCCTTGCGTCTATAACACCCTGAGAGTGGTCTTCACTCAATACATTAATGATGTCTAGGGTCCTGGGAAATGTTGGATAATGTATTGTGGCATGACCTTGTACATGTAGGGATTCAGTTGGAGAGTGATAACTAGGTAGTTACTTAGATGTGTTATTTATGATTATTCTAGGCTTCCTTTTGGGGTGCATTTTCCCCTTTTCATGCTTTAGAATTAATGGATGCAACTTGTGTTTTCCCAGTTATCATGATGATCAAAAGATAATGTACATGTACATAGTGCTGCTGATCCAATCAAATTATTTTTGTTTGGAATATTCAATAATTTGTGTGCACTTCAAGTTTTTGCTGGGAAAGGACATGGGTGTTATACCTTTATCAAGCTTTTCTGCTGAGAATGCATGCCCATTGTATTCCATTTGATACTGGATTTTTATTTTTGTTCAGAGTTGCTTTTGAAATATACTGTAGCATGAATTAATCTTGATTTTACCACAAATATATATAGGCCTACTTGCAATTAAAAAAAAGTTTGCATTAATCAAAATAAAAAATAATCACAATCAACGAGGCGTAAACAAGATATTATAAGCAGGTGGAAATTGATAACTAAATACTGTATGTACCTGTAAACAGAGTCAATGAAAATGCTATAAGAACATACAGTACATGTATATCTTGCAATTGTTTATACATCTGATGAACATCAATTGAATCCAAGTGAAGAGCAAGTCTGCTCGTATACTTTGCTTTTCTAAATTGAAAATCTTTGTTGGACTTTAATAATGAGTGCCTTAAAACCATCAATGTGAGGGGAAATTCCTCTGAATCTGCAATTATAAACAGCAAAAAAAGTTACAAGAAGTGAGAACTACACAAACAATATAAAAAATGTGTTACCGGTATATGATTTGTGCAAATCAACAATTCACTGGTTTTTATGAGCAGTTGCATTTCATTGATAATGAAATAAAGAGTTCTCATTTCTTCTGAACCTTGCATGTTTTCTTTATGGTTGAATACAGTATAAGTTCCCTGATATGTGTGTTTTTCAAGTGATTTTAAACATAGTATACTATCTAACAAAGAAACCTAACATGGTTATTGCACATAGATTGTACAATGTAGAATCTACAGAAGTGTTTTAAATCTAATCAAAGCTCCCCAAAATAGATCATCCTTGGAGCGTTTTGTTTGATCAGTTCGTGGATTTCTTTCACCAGCTCCGATCTGTTTTCCCCCTCTCTATTTGCTTTATACAGATATCTAGACTGCACAATACCCCTTCTCAAGCATCCAGAGGCCTTCGCACCAGTCGGCTCTATACTCTGAGAAGGGAACGGCCAATTTATTCACCAGTCCGGGTGGATTGATGGAGGTGTTTATGTCCAGAGCGTGAAAGTGGTAAGGACAAGAGCAAGAAAGAGGAATCCTTTGTCGACTCAACTATCGGCTATCAGGATGGTCAAATTCTAATGACATTCATTCAGGGAGTGCATCGCAAAGTGATTTTGGTTCTTAGTGGTGAGTATCGGGTTAGCATACATGAATGAAGTTCCTGCTGCACCTGGGGAAAAATAATAGGAGATTCAAAGAAACGTTTAACCTCCGCTGCTCCTCCCGATACCTGCAATTAATGAACTTAACTTTAAATAATTTGTATTTGTTTTACATTTGCTCCTTTTGTAAATGTCATTTATGTTGTCTTATTGCGCAGCATTTCTTTGGTCTTTTGAGATGTGAATGTGAGTATTAATTGTGTCTATTGATACAAATGATATAGTTATTTTGACAATAACATGATGGAAGCATTTGACATTGGTCAAACTGAAATATTTAACTATGTCAAATGAATTGCATGCATAGATGTTTTAAAGTTGTTTTACAGCTTTTGTGGTATCTATTCATTTCATGTATTGTATACACATGAACAGTCCTGTACAGTCCCGTAAATGTCTAATGATTGTACATTTAGTTTGCTTGGGAATTATATGAACCAACTAACTAAGTAGCCAACCACCAACCAACCAACAAACAAACAACCAAAAGAGAAATTAAATTAAACACATTTTAATTGAAATGGAACAATTGCTAGTCGTCAAAGCACTTTATTAGTTTTCTGGAAATCAACTTGGGTTCACAAATTATATTTGATATAACTCTGATTGTGCATTTAGGCTGAAGACTTACTAAACCAAGCCCGGTTTACCAGTTATTTATGTTTTCATTGAACTTTCATCTCGATTACAGTGTCATTCATATGGACAAACACTATCAGGTGGTGGGGTGAATGAACGTCACACATCCCAACAAAATCAATTTCCTTCATGCTCCATGCAGATATCACAATCTACAACTATCTTTACTTTCATTGTGGAAATTCACCTGCTCATGTTATTGCCAGCTGATTGATCTTGCGTGTATGAATTGCTACTAGTCTACATCCTTAAGACTCGATTACAGAAATTATCAGAATCATCGTGCAGAATAGTTTCCTCCCTTTGACTTTTAAATTATAATTATCCCTCTTCTCCCTCTTTTTTGCTCCCTCACCCTTTCTTTCTAAATCGTCCTCTCTTCTTTGTTCCTCCCTCCCATATCCCCTCCATCTCTGTCTTTCTCTTCATCTGTCTCTGTCTCACTGTCCATGTGAGTGTGCAAGGAATTGTTTAATCTTACAAAAAAAATAATAAATAAAAAGCATAAAGAGTTTAGGACAGCCAAAGTGTATTTACATGTACTATGATTAATATTTTTTTCAAACAGTTCAACTACAATTTTATGTATAAGGGCATGTGCCTGTAGTCTATGTAGTTCTCTGTTTTCCTAAATCCACTACATGAATGTGTTTGTACATTTATAAGAGAAAATATTTTACAATTAAATTATATGTTTCAGTTGTTTTGACCTTGTGATTGGGTTTAGAAACTACATATACTGTGACTACCTCTATTTAAAAAAGAGACCCCCAAACCATACATTTTGTATTGAAACAGTAGGAACTTAAAGACATAACTCTGAAGAGAATATTCCATTTAATAGAAGATTTATAAAGCAATGGAACTGTAGCAACTGTAGCCACAGTCCGTTGATGTATTCACTAGACCACGACACCTCTACAATGTACATTGTGTGTGTACTTTCAACTACTGCCTTTGTTTGGTTTGCGGGCCTATCTTTAATGTTGACATATTAAAGATAAATTTGAGTTCTGGTAAAAAAAGAAAATGAATTCTCACAGAATCTAATGAAACTTACACTGAATGTTCAAGATTACAAATAAATGTCATGTGCCTAACAATTTTGGAAGAAAATGTATACTGGCTGAGTAATGAGCATAGAAAGATAAGGAAATCAGGGTAGTACTAGCCCCGACACCATGTGTGTTGTCCCATATACATCTATCTGTGTAAGTGATTGTTACTTTACCAAGACTCTGCCAGATTTATGATGATTTTGATGACTCTAGAACCTTGCATTACACACCATCACTTACATGCTATATGATCAACTTTTCTGATCCATTCCACACCTTTTCTTTCACAATGCAATCGCATTACCAGAACTCAAGTTTATCTTTAATGTTTTGAATTAATCAATTAATCATTAATGATTTATAAGTTATATGTGCATTGTGCACACCAACAATTGTTATCTTTAAAAAAACAATATTTGGTGTGAAAAATATTTGTTTGATCAACGTGTATCTTATCATTGTTTTGACAGCGATAGCAGATAGATTAGAGATATAATGTATTGTAATTTGAAAGCTCAATATGTTTGCACAGTTTTGCATCAAATTGAAACTACCTTCTTCAAATTTTCCTCATTCAGAGGTACATGTAGAAAAAACATAGTGGGAGTAGAAAGCAATCTCTAAAAGAGAGAGAGAGTTCTTTACAAAATATGAAAATGTTCCTTTTATGAATATCACACTTTCTTTAGAAAAGTCAAAGAGATGCTACATGTATGTGTAAAAGAAAGTATTTTGGACTCTGTGGTAAATCACAGCTTTGCCGTAATTGTGTAAATTCAGTGTTTTAACTTTCTTGTGAACATGTACACAAACAAGAGAGTTGTCCGTGTCTAATGCTTCAGTCACAGCTTTGCGTATTTGGCTTGCATATTATTGCTGCGTATTTATGGCAAGCTGTTTTAACATTTATTCCAATTTCTTGATATCAAGACTTGAATTCTTGATATCAAGAATTTCCATTGCTTTACAACAGATATCAAGAAATAGGAATAAATGTTAAAACAGCTTGCCATAAATACGCAGCAATATGCAAGCCAAATACGCAAAGCTGTGACTAAAGCATAATTAACAATCCGTGGACCAAATTGCAAATGTGAGATTTGAATTTTGATTTTCCATTCAAGGAGTGATTCAGATGGGATGTTATCAATGGCATAGCTTTACACACTGTAGGAGGCTGACATAACGTTTCTTCCTCACTCCCTTCAATCGAATATGCTCTAGATTTGATGGACCGATCAATGGCTGCAGGACGATATCTGTCAACCCCATCTGGTGTCCTAAGGGCTTCTCTCACTATTACACCTGCATCTAAGCATGACTGTGAACTAGCTAGTCTTCCCCTGAAGACACCCACGTCCGTTCCACAATCAATGCTAATGTGAACACGTAGTGCATCGCAGCTGTACTTTCATGTCCCCTACTGTACTAGTATGACATAAACATGTGCAATGTACACCTGTATATTACATGTATGTAATACCAGTAAGCCTCTTTCGTAATGTAATCAAATTTAATGCACAAATCTTTGTTTTTTCTTCTTCCTTCTTCTTCTTCTTCTCCTTCTTCTCCTTCTTCTCCTTCTCCTTCCTCTTCTTCTCCTTCCTCTTCTTCCTCTTCTCCTTCCTTCTTCCTTCTCCTTCTTCTCCCTCCTTCTTCCTCCTCTTCTTCTTCTTCCTTTTTATCTTCTCCTTTTTTCTCTTCTTCTTCTTTCTTCTTCTTCTTCTTCTTCTTCTTCTTCTTCTTCTTCTTCTTCTTCTTCTTCTTCTTCTTCTTCTTCTTCTTCTCCTTCTTCTTCTTCTTCTTCTTTTTCCTCCTTCTTCTTTTCACTTACCGAAACTAAGCATCATGAGCCTTGAAAGCTGCAATTTGGGTTTATATGTACATGGACTACATCCTAATAATACCCTTTTTACTCTCTTTCTTTCTTTTCAGATTTTTATGAGGTCAGCTGATTGCCTACTACAGTGAAAGGAAGTGACTAATTGGACAACCAGCTAGAATTGGGACTTCAACACTAAAAGCCTGCCAATTGTGTTATTGCATCTCAAATCAAGAAAACCTTGTCCAGTTGACGGTTGAGGGATTGCAATAGAACAATATAGTAGACTCTGATGAGATGTGTGACTCTTGTTGTACTCTGGAATATATTCTAACCTGGATGTTTGAATGAAGGACACTGTTGTGCATCGATTCAAATTGGATTCAGTTCTGGAGATGTACAAACTGTGCATCTAGAAAGTGACCCTGCGTATGCTGTTACTGAACCACAGATAAACTTGGTTTCAAAGGATTTGCTGAACTGTACGTTGCAAAGTGAGTGTGAAGGAGAACACACATTTAAAAAAAACTGATAAAGTCTGATCTTCCATGAAGCTACTGATAAACTGACAAATTTGATCTTCCACGAGACAAGGATAAACTGATAAAATCTGATCTTCCACAAAGATACTTCAAGGTGCATGCAAGCCTGCTTCATCGGGTAAACAAAGTCAGTAAGTTACAAGAGGTCAGGATTTCAGTGACCCCTCTACACTGACACAGTTTGGATGCAAGATGGCAGCAGAGAGCGTAGAAGTGGATCACTTTGAGGAGGGCACATCAAAGGTGAGTGCAGAGAACGTATTTGATTGCTTTGAGGGCAAGTCCAAGAGTCCATTTTGTTCCATACGTTGTTACCGAATGCATCCTAGATGTGTGTGTATCTGACAATTGTTGTCAGTTTCATGATAGCCCTACTACTTGTAGACCTTTGATCAAACAAAATACAAAGCAAAATGACACATTTGATTTCAGTTTATTTACAGAATTACACAATACTTGATAATGATAATGTATGGGACACCAATTACTTTGAACTTGCCCTTGGACAAATGTAAAAATTGTTTTTAACCAAATCTCTTTTACTTTTTATAAATGTTAGGCTTCCTGGGAGAAGTTACAGTTGTTATCAAAAAAATCTTTTGGCTTGCACCCAGTAGATGAAGATTGCGTGCTTGATCTTGTATTTGAGAACAAGTCAGAGCAAATCTTGGAACCAGCAGGATTAGAACCTGCCATGTACATGTACAGGTACTGCTCTTTTTCTTTTGTTTGAAAGAAATTGCTCATAGTAAAGTTATCCACTGTGGCTGGAGAGGAATCCTTCCTGCCAGGTATCCATAGATATCCTGTAGATCCTTTCAAGTTGCCTGACCTTCCCTCTTATTTTTATATACTGTATACACATACATTATATTAATTTTTTTAAAGCCTATTTTGAATAAGTTATGTTTCTAGAAAATACCAGATCTGCATCAGCCTCTCTATAAAACTTCAGGAGATACATGTACTGTCAAGGAATGAAATGGGGATTTGTAAACATTCATTTAAAAAGAAAAGAACAGTGTACAAATGTATGATTGCAAAAGAAATTCATGAGAAACTTCGCCAATTTGACTTGCATGAACTGCACTTCAGGGTAAGGACAAGGACAACTATTACCCTGCTAGTGTATACAAATCTTGAACCTTGAAATAATAGTGCCTTTCAGCAGCTTCTAGAAGCTACACTTACCCTAGGATGATCAAGTTTACAGTTTCATGCATTTCCAGAAATCCCAAACGAGAGTTCTGAACTTCTTATCGTTTGGAAGTTGGAGTTAGAGTTATTCCATTAACCTGTTATTCATGAATGAACTACAATACTTGAAATCCAGTCTCCATAGTGCATACATTATTTGTTGCCATGTTGGACACGTCTCAGTCAAGCCTTCAGGTTGTCAAGAAAAAAAATTGAATATATATGTTGGTAAACCGGTATTGTTTTTGCAACGTTTATGCTAGAGACCCCTGGTTTTCTCCATAACATTTCCATAATCATTTCAAATTTTTATGGATACTATTACTCTACCCACTCAACCATTTAGTGCCTGGGATAGGATGTTAATGGTTTTCCTTTCTGTTTTGGTGCATGCAGTCGTTAAGTTCGTTTTCTATGAGGTAGAAGGGATATAAGTCCTGTACTTATACTATAATTTAAAGCCCTTCTAGCTGTGACTAGATGGGCCCATTTACACATCCCAAACATCATTTTGAATAACGTTGATTTTTTGGAGTACCATTTATACTACTTGAAAAAACCCATACAAAACATCATAGTTTGCTCATACCAATCTTTTGGTGAGTAGTACGCATGTCCAGGCGCGGATCCACGTGGCGATTTTTCCGGCCTGGGCCCCTCCCCCCCCCCCCCCTTAGCCCCCAAAACTGTTAAAAAAAATAGGATAACAACATAAATTCAACCTTTTTTAAAACAAAAAAACTAAAGTCGGCGCTAATCTTTTTCTCAAGATTTGGGCCCCCCCCCTCTTGTCGTCGGCTGGATCCGCCCCTGCGCATGTCTGACTCGTCCGTGCCCTGGCGGCCCTGCATGCGTTAGGACGGAAGCGAGGAGAATCACGTGAGCAAAAGTTGGTATACTGTATTACCGATGCTTGCTTTTACACTGCAGAAATCAATGAAACTTTGAAAGGCGTTTAAAAAAACCACACTCCAGAGGTGGATTTGATTTCGATTTTTCATCCTGTTTGCCGGTAGTTGCTTTACTGGCGAAACATCAGAATATGAGAAAACGGTTTTTGGTTGCAGTGTAAATGAAGCTGTTGATGGAATCTTGGCTGTGACAAGAGATTTAGTAGAGATTTACCTTCATAGAAAAAACTGTCGGAGGCGATCTTTGCGTTCTGCGGTGGAAGACAGAATCTTTGAATATATAACGTGATGGTGCTTGGGACTTGGGTTTTCTAATGGTAATCCTGCCATGCATGTAATTACTGTTGGATAACAAAGGAAGAGTTGGCTCTTTTTAAAGGCAGCAGAAGAACAAGAAAAATCACGATGACATGAACATCACATTCGGTACCATTTAACACCTACATGTAGGTAGAAAAAAAGCATTGGAGATAATTTTGATCAAGGACATACTGTACATGTACAGTTTAGCTTCAAACCTGAGAACTCTTTATGTCCAGGCGAGTGTTCAAACAATGACGATTAAGATATATAAAATTTGTAATCATTAGTATTACAGAAATAAGGAAAAAATTTCATACTAGATATATATCATCATTCATTTGACTCTAAATTTATCATCGAGTATTTTCTGGTGAGAATACTGCAATATTTTGATCTTGTTTTCATGTGAGCTCATGCAGATTTTCTCTAAATGTGGCTAAAATGAGATTACTGGTACATCGTATATCTGGGGGCAATTTTTATGCATTTTCTGCCTTTTACCAGAACTTATTTTTGATATGTTTTTTAGATACCCGATGCTCTGTAATCCATTGATATGATAGTAATTTGGTACAACCCACTTGCTCTATTTATTTCCATCATACCACCTGTTGTACATGTATGGTTGCAGCCTGTGGTAGATAAAGCTACACTCAATGCACTTCATATTTTTGAGGAGCAAATTCTCATTTCGACTTGGGAGACAGGCTTATTTTATTCAGGTGACTTTTATGGGGCTTTTATTACACTAAAAGGTGAATGTACAAAAAACAGTTTTATGACTGCTATAAATATATACTGTATATCACCATCCACCATCAAGCTGATAAGAAAGTGCTCTCATGATTCATATATTATTTGATAGATGCATTATCAGGCATACTGGTAAGGAAATTGACCTTTTTAAGCATACATTGTTTTATAGGTTAATTGTACCTCTGTACTTAGTGCAATTAATGGTGGGATGATATTTGGCTGTTTCATTATTTACTACTCTAATAAATCCATATAAAGTAGAGAGAAAGAGATAAAGGGAGAGAGAGAGAGAGAGAGAGAGATGGAGGGGGTGGATTGCGGAGAATAGAGAGGGGGTTAGGGGGGAGAGAATAGAGATAAGGTGCAGGGAGGAAAGATGATGGATGGCGAGGACTGAGAGAGAGCGAGAGAGAGGAGGAGAGAGGAGGGGAAGGGAGAGGAGGAGAGGGGGAAGGGAGAGGAGGAGAGGGGGAAAGGAGAGGAGGAGAGGAGGGGGGGAGGAGGGGGGAGGAGGACTGAGAGAGATCGGATGGGGAAGAGAAAGAAGGGTGGGTTAGAGAGGGCGGAGAGGAGGGATGGGAAGAGGGAGAAGGGATGGGAGAATGAGGAATGGAGGGATGGAAGACAGTGGAGGGCTTGGAAGGAGAGAGAAGATTGCTAAAGGAGGGATTGGAAGGCAAGAGGAGGGATGCAGTGACAGAGGAGCACTGGAATAAGTGAGATAGTGAACAATAGAGGAAGAGGGGGAGGGATGAAGGGGATGAAAGAGACAAATAAGAAAGAAGAGAAGATGAAATAGATTGAAGAGAGAAGGGAGGGTTAGACAAGAGATATGAAGGAAGAAGGAGAAAAGAAAGATATTGAGACATGAAGGAGAGAAGGCTAATGAGAGAGAGACAATTAAAATACATAAGCATGTCTTAAAGAAATATTACCCGGTATTTTGATTTTTTTTCTTCTCTTTTCTCACACTTTTTAATTACCAATCTTTTTAGGCACGTCCAGTATAAACATGAATATTTACGTCTTTTCCACTTCGAATCTCGCGATATTGTCACGTACTGTAGCTCAACTTTCGGACTTGTCATATAAAGTTCAGGTGGAGGCTTATGATGCTAACTTTATGGGGTAATAAAGTCTGTTTAAACTTTTAAAGAAATAAATACATAGATGAGCCATATCTTATATTGTATAGTGTATTTTCTTTAGATGTTCTCTGGCATTTGACAAGGATCCTGTTCAATCCAGGCAGCCACTGATTCTTACTTTGTAGATTCCTAAATTTTGTTAATGGCAATAATGGGCATGAATTGCATTAACTGGAAAAAAATAAAGACATATCCAGAAATGAAAGACAAACAGGAAGGTATGTACATGTAGTAAAAAAAAAAATTATATCAAATGTTTTGACAGAGACTAAAATTTCTGTTATTATACATGTAGTATGTACATGTACATGTACACATGTAGGCAGGTGTATATGTCTATAAGTTTATTGCCATATTTCATTTAAGTGTAAGATACATACTGTTCATGTGTATGATTGTATGCCATGTGTTTTCAATGGATTGAAAACATATTTGAATTGACCTAAACAGCAATTGTATGTCCAAATGTCCTAAAAATTACATTTTTTTTCCATACATTTTTTGGGAAATACTTTATTGTTCTCAACTACTTGGTCATTCTATCGTGTGTATAATTTGGACATCCTTTTGCAAAATGAATATTGAATGAAATGAATACTCTATACTTGTTTCGAGAAAGAAAAAATTGTGTTTTAAATGATACCTTGTGCTGAGGCTGAGCTTTATTGGGTTTAGGAGAATAATATGTTGCATGGTTCATTCTTGTTAATCATTGTTGTCTCTACTTAAAAAAAAAAAAAGTTATACCAAAAAGGGAAATTCTTTTTGCCCAATTATGCGTGAGCCCGGCAGCCACTGAGCAGCGCCAGATTGACGTTGCTCTATCCCTTATCGTTGAATGCCAAACAAGGTGGCAGCAACTTCCGTCTTTTAACATCTTTTGGTATGACGCGGCCGGGGTTGGAACCCACGACCTCCTGGTTGTGAGGCGGACGCTCTACTGACTGAGCCAACACATCGGTGTAAAGCTAAATTTGAGTTCTAGTACATGTAGTTCAGGAGTGGGAAAGTTCACTTGAGAAGTTGAGGTGCAATTTGAACAGTTTATCAAATATGCAAATGTTGTTTTTATTTTTTAAAATATTATCAACCTTTACAATAGAAGGTGAAATAGAATTGTGTGCAGAATTTTTTTTCATTATTTTAAATATTTTTTAAAGACCAGAACAACAGAATTTGAGATATAATTCTGATTTCTATGTTTTGTTCTTGTTGTTTTCCTGATTTTCGAAGACTACAGGGCAGTATGACAGAAATTACACGATGTACAATGTTTAGATGAATTTCTGATTAGTTTGTCATATAGGAGGTTATTATAACTGTATTGTAGACAAATTCAATATG